TGTGACGAAACGAGAACCGTCAGCGGTTCATGTTCATTCGCACCGGATGGATGCATCGGGGGTAGAAAGATATGGTAGAAAGCAGAGGAAGAGGTGGACCACACGCACCTGGTTGGCTTCGATGTACTCGAGGTTCTCGCCTTCGAGGGTGCTAAACTCGGGCCGCTTGCTCATGGGCTGATAGTTGGACGCGATGAAGTGACGGCAGAACCCTGTTTTCGAGTTGATGACATCAAAACAGGCACAGTGGTTCGCGGGCAGCCGACAACAACCACGACGATGGCGAGAAGCCACTTCTCTTTGAAGAGGTGCGTGTGCGTACCAACGAGCTGGTCGGCGTTGTGCTGCTCGGCAAGGTGAAGCAGGCCCACCACGTCGATGTCGGCCTTCTCGATACCGTCGCTGGTGGCGGTCTCGACCTCCTTGGTGATGTAGAGCTCGCACAGGGTGACCAGTCGCGGCAGCCCTGTGTACGTTTATGAGCCTCATTGCAACACGACACACACGACACGCACGACACACACAACACGCAACACATATCACGCAACGGGTAAGTACCGAAGCGGTTGGCGAGGATGAGAATGCCGACGGAGTCTCCACTCTCGCAGATGGGCGAGTGGTCCGTGTAGAGGAATTCCAGGAAGGCCAGGAAGCTCTCCAGCGACGTGTCTCCGATAGGGATCGTCTGAACGTGTGTTTGCAAACAGCGCAACAGGTGTCACTTTGCGTGCGTGCGTGCGTGCGTGCGTGCGTGCGTGCGTGCGTGCGTGCGTGCGTGCGGTGTACTCGAGGGAGTCTTCGACAAAGAGACCGGAGAACATGGCGGCGAGCACCTTGCAGCGGCCCATCAAGATGGCCTTGTGCGCGTGGATGCGCTTCCCTTCGACTTCGAACGCCACGTCGGAGAAGAGGGGCCGGTTGAGGAAGAGCTGCTTGGCCACCGCCCCCGCCTCGTCGTTCAGCCACGTCCCGATCGACGGGTTGAGAAACTCGCTGTCGTCCATCACGTTGCGGCAGATTGTCGCCAGGTGCTCGAGCCCGAACAGCTCCGCCGCCGCCAGCAGGTCCTGCACCCCGTCCCTGCGCACATCACACGTTAGTTGCGCAGCGCAAGCGGGTGGTCGAAGGGGTTAAGAAGAGGGCAAAGCTGTACAGCTTGTCGCGGATGGTGGCGATGCCGGTGTAGAAGAACTCGAGCACCCTGGCAAAGACGGCGTGGCTGACGCGCTTGCTGATCCCGATCGTGTAGGCGACGCCCTCCTCCCCACCACCAGACGTACGGCCGCGGTGGATGGAGGAGAAGCCGGGGATCTGGCCGGCATTGATCTGACGGTGGAGAGGCGGCACCGAAGGGTCGGCGTCGGCCCTGTGCTGCGTCTCCGTCTCTTCCTCTTCCTCTTCGCTTTCGCTTTCGCTCTGCTCCTCGGCAACGGCCGGAGCCGAGTGAGGCTTGGGCTGCTTGGCTGCAGTGGCGCCGGCCTTGCTGCCGCTGCCGCCCTGTTTCTGGGCGTCGAGGTAGTCTTTGATCTGGGACCGGACTAGGTGGTTGGGGATCAGGGCCTTGTTCTCCAGCTCGGCACCGGTGATCGGCGCGGTCGAGTGCGTCTGCAGCCATTCGGCAATGCTCGTTCGCTCGTACGTGTGACCGTCGCACGTCAGCACCGGGTCCTTCTGCACTCGCGTGGCACCAGTTAGTGTGTGCGCTGTGTGCGGTCGCGTATGGTGTGGTGTGTGGTGTGTGGTGTGTGGTGTGTGGTGTGTGGTGTGTGGTGTGTGGTGTGTGGTGTGTGGTGTGTGGTGTGTGGTGTGTGGTGTGTGGTGTGTGTGTGTGTGTGTGCGCGCATGCGCGCGCGCTGTGTGCGGTCGCGTGTGGTGTGGGTAACTGTTGGGTGTGACGTGCCATGATTTCCTGGGTGATGGGGCACAGGAAATGCTCGGGCACTTCCGACTCCTCCCCGCCATCGGCTTCCTTGGACTCCTCTTCGCCTTTCGTGTCCGCGACTTCAACCTTCGCCTCCTCCTCCTCCTCTTTCTTCTTCTCCTTCTTGTTCTTCTTCGTCTTCTTCTTCTGCTGCTGCTGCTTGTCGTCGGCGCCCTTTCCCTTCTTCTTCGCGCTGGTGCTGCTCTTGGATTTGCTTGCGGCCTTGTTGCTCTGGCTCTGGCTCTGCTTGGCCTTGGCCTTGACCGTCGCAGCTGCCGCCGCTGTCGTAGCCTCGGCCGATTGCGCTCCGTCGGCGCCAAAGATGCGGCGGAAGAGGAGCGAGTTGGCCGCAAGCACCACCCCTGTGCGCCTTGACGGCCCTCTCCTCCACCACGAACTATTCCCACATAAACCTCAAACAAGTTCAGTCCCCCCGCTCGTCGACTCGTCAGGGCCAAAAAGATGCGGGGCGCCGCGCACCTTGACGTCGGCTTCGGCCGACGACTCGAGGAGGCCCTTGAAATCGTCGGCGAACGTCGACGTCTGGATATTGGTCCACGGCGCGTGCGTAGGCTTCGGCAACACCTGTGTGCGTGTGCGTGTGCGTGTGCGTGTGCGTGTGCGTGTGCGTGTGCGTGTGTGCGTGTGTGGTGATATGTTAAGGCTTCAGCTGAAGCTTGGTGCAGCCACACAGAGTGGGGAGGTACCGGAGGGATGAGTGCGGGCTTGGCGTCGTAGGCGCTCTTGCCGCCCTTGCCGCGACCCTTGGACTTCTTGCCCTTGTAGGAGCTCGCACGTTCTCCGCCCATGGCCACCCGCATGATCACGTCGAACGCGTTCTTGAGGCCCGCCTGGGTCAACGCGCTCGTCTCGACGTAGTGGGCCGCCCCGATCTGCGTCACCACGGATGTACGTCCAAAGGAGGTGGTTAGTACCACGAGCCCCGATCCAGTACTTACTTATCAGAGCACTCGCACCTGCTTGGCCATGGCGGCTCCCTCGTCGTAGGTGATCGGGTGCTGGCCTCGGTCCCTCAACCGAGAACTGGCGGGGAGGCAACAACAAAGTTGATCAGCTTTTATGAATAAAACAAATAAAAAAAAGGGGTCGCCCGCGCACATGATTGAATCGTCGTCGCGTAGGTCCACCTTGTTGGCGCACAACACTACGGGCACTTCAGGGCAGTGGTGCCTGGGTGGGTGCACACGCACCACACGCACCACACACGCACACACACACACACACACACGTCGTCGTCGTCGTCGTCGTCGTCGTCAGTTTACGAGAGCAAGGCTGGTGCTGGTGAGTAGGACGCGTACGAGATCTCGGCGATCCACTTGCTCTTGACGTTCTCCAGCGAGGTCGGGCTGGCGACCGAGAAGCACAGAACGAACACGTCGGTCTGCGGGTAGCTCAGCGGCCGCAGCCGATCGTAGTCCTCCTGCCCCGCCGTGTCCCTGTTGGCGTTCGTGCCACCGGGGGTTAGCTGGGGAGAGCACCACAAACGCAGGGCCACACCCCCGGGAGAGCGTGACGTGGCGTGGCGCGTACCAGAGGCCCAGGTTCACCGGCCTCCCATCAACCATCACATTCGCGCTGATGTCGAGACACACGCACACATACGGACGTGAGTCTGGTTCGGTCAAACAAAGGGGGAAGGCCATGCCACACGAGTAGAACTTACCTGTAGTTGTCAAAGACTGTGGGCACGTATTCGCCGGGAAAGCTGTTGGTCGTGTAGGATATCAACAGGCAGCTCTTACCCACCGCTCCGTCACCCACAACCTGCGCACGTGCAAAAAAAATCAAGACATAATTGAATTAATTGAAAAATTGGCTTGGTGGCATACATGAAAATAAGAAAGAGAGCTTGAAAAAAAAATATTTGAATTAATTCAACTAATAACTCTGGTGTCGTGGCTAGGATATCAGGGGCACGTACCACCGCTTTGATGTTCTGCATAGATGTGTACCACTCGCTAGCTCTTCCGTTACTCCTAGTTGCGCGACTCACTTGCCCACCGCGGCTTGGTTTTCTGGCGGCCGAAGAGGAGTTGCGGCGAACGTCAATACGCACCCCTTCGCCGAACACTGGTACACCGGGCCACTTTAACGTGGCAATCCACGTCAACACAAGAAAATCACAAAGAAAAGACGAAAGAAAATAATGCCAAGCCCAGCAAACGCAACATGGAGGAGGTTGCGGTCGCAGCCGCTACTGCAGGTGCGCCACAGCAGTACGATACCAAGACTGCGACGGGGTTTTGGGACGGGCAGGGCGCGGCATACGAGTCGCGCCCCTTCTACACGGAGACCGGCGGCTACTTCCGCTGGTGCCTCGACCTCGCCCTGCAGCACCTGGCGGCCACCGCCGCGTCGCGCATCGTCGACCTGGGCGCCGGCACCGGCAACTTCTCCCACGCCCTCCACACCGCCCTCCAGACACGCCACCCGGTCGTGTGCGTCGACCCGTCGGCCGGCCTCCTAGAGCTGGCTCGCGAGAGGCAGGGCCTGCGGCCCGTCGTCGCTGGCGCCTTCGAGTTCATCGTCAACCACGGAAATGAAGAAGAAGAGGAAGAACAGAACCAGTTCGATCGGGTGTTGATGAAGGAGATGGTGCACTTCATCTCTAAAGACCAGTGGCCCACCATGTGGCCCGCGCTCTACGCTCGACTGGCACCCGGCGGGCGCGTCGTGATCATGCTGCGCCCGCTGCGCACCGAGTTCCCGTTCTCGCGTGGCATGGTGGCCACCTGGGAGAAGCTGTGGGCCAGCCACGGCCTGGAGGAGGCCATCGAGGCCGCCGGCTTCGAGCTGCAGTCCTTCGAGGCCAAGTATCCGCTGTCGATGACCAAGCGCGAGTGGCTCACACTGCTGGCGTCGCGCTTCTGGTCCAACCTGGCCGAGGAGCACCTGTCGGCGGACCAGCTGGCGAGCGATCTCGAAGAGCTGCGGGCGAGCCTGCCCGAGGGCGAGCTCTCGTGGAACGACACCTTCACCATCCTCGTGTGCGTTAAACCTGACAAGTGAAGCTTGTGTTGTATATGTTTGCAACACAGTTAACATGTTGAATGTCCCGAACATATTTGTGTTTTTTTGTGTGTCACAAACAAAAAAACACAAGAAAATAAAATTGAATCAATAAAAACTAAAACACAAGAAAGGAAGAGAACGACACGCAAGAGAGCAGGTCGGCATCATGCTGAAGAAAGGGCGAGCGCGCTTCTTGGACAAATTCAAGTCCAAGAGCGGCACAAGCAAACCGCTGGAGGTCCCCGACGAAGAAAACCCAGAACGCTCCATGTACCTCCCCCCCTTTCAAGCTCTACTTTATAACATTATGCGGGCCGCTGAATTATAACAAGAAATAAAATAAATAATGGGTTATGTCCCTTTGCTTTTATCTTTTATTTTATAATATGATTTGATTTGATATTTATTATTTTTGATAACATGTTCCCTCACCACACTCCGCCCGGGGCTGCATGATGACCTGCAGGACGGAGGATGGAGAACTGACAGAGCACGACCTGCGCATCGGACGGACGGGCCTGCGTATCAACGGTGAGGCGGCCCGAGCGGTCCAGCTGGAGGTCAAGCCCGAGGACCTGGAGGACCTCGAGGTCACCCTCGGCTCCGGCGCCTCGTCCGTCGTGCGCAAGGTGCGCCACCGGCCCTCTGGCCTCGTTCTCGCCATGAAGGTCCGACCCACTCCTCACTTTTGCCCGCTTGCGTGGAAGTGGACGAGGTGTGCCCCTCCTTTTTCTTTCAGTCTGACCCGTGGGCGACACGGTGGTGGTCCTGTCCGTCAGGTGATCGGGCTCGACGTGACAGAAGAGGTGCGGAACAAGCTCTTTGTCGAACTGCGGACGTACCACTCGTCGTCGCACCCCTCCATCGTATCCTTCTATGGGGCCAGCTACGAGGTGCGTGTTTAGACTCTTACCAGATCGCCGGTGGAACCCCCTCTTGCTCACTCGCTCACTCGCTTTGGGCTGTTTCTCTGTTCGATCGACTGCAGGAGGGCAGCATACGCATACTGCTGGAGTACATGGACGGTTCGCTTGCGGACGTGATCAAAAACAGGCCGCTGCCGGAGAACATTCTGTCCAAAGTGACCGCTCAGGTTCGGTGTCTCTCCGCCCGAAGCTGGCTCCTGCATTGACTGAAGCAGAGACTGACACACACACACGCACACACGCACACACCACACACACACACACACACACACACACACACACACACACAACACACACCATACACCACCGTGCATAGATCCTCAGAGGACTTTCCTACTTGCACAAGGACCTGCACATTGTACATAGAGATATCAAGCCGGCCAACATTCTGTACGTTGCAGGGTGCCTCCTTCGTTTCACTGTCGCGATTCATCGTAAGGCGTCGCAAGACGGGCAGCTGGTTCTCATGTCGTCCGACCCACAGAATCAATAAGCGAGGGGAGGTCAAGGTTTCGGATTTTGGTGTGAGCACGCAACTGAAGGACACGCTCGGGCTGGCGGAGACATTCACCGGCACTGTAACATATATGGACGTACGCTCTCAGCCGCCACTTCCACTCCTGCTTGCGTGGCGAGTGCGAGTGCGAGGGTCGTGGCCTAACATGTCAGTGGCGGCTCTGCCTATCAGCCGGGACGCATCGCGGGTCAGCTTCACAGCAGTAACTCCGACGTGTGGTCGCTCGGGTTGACGATTATGGAGTGCGCCCTGGGCTACTACCCCTACCGACCACCAAGCAAAGAGAAAGAAGTACTCCGCTCCCACCTTGTTTCACCAACCACTCACCCACTCACTCATTCACCCATGCTTCTTCCCTTTACTAGGTGGTGCAGTTCTTCGACCTGTACGACGCCATAGTCAACCACGACCCACCCTCCCTGCCTGGCGATCAGTTCTCCAAAGAATTCTGCGACTTTGTTGCTGCCTGGTACGCCCGCCCTGGTGTCACCTCGCACTTCACTGAAGTTATGTAAGCTAGCTGACATTGGGGTCTCTTCAGCTTGTGCAAGAACGCCACAAAGCGACCCTTTGCCGCCGAACTGTTGGTGCGTTGATTGCTCTAGCGAAGGGATCACGGCGCGACTCCTTGACTGTGTGCCTGGCCTGACCATGCGATGTCTATGAACAGGACCATCCCTTCATCCATAAGTACGATCAGGATCCCGTGGACGTTGCCGAGTGGGTGCGCACCGCGCTGGCCGATCACATGGACGTGTAGTGCCTGCGGCCCGTTTGACAAAAATATTTATTTTATTTGTTCCGTGAATCCAAAAAAAATTGGATTTCTTCGAAGAAATTGACCAAACGAAAAAAGATTGGCATCTTCTGTTTTACAATTACCACGGCAGCGTAGCACACAGCGAAGAAGATGTCGGACGATCCCTACAAGTTTGATGAGGTGGATGGAGAGGGTGGCGAGACGGCGGCAGCCAAAAAGGGCAAAACGAGTCCGACGAAGCCGGCCGCGTCCTACACGAAGAAGTCGACTGGCACTACGCCGGCGGCCAAGCCGCGAGGCGGTCTGTCGCTGAGGAAGAACGCAGCCTCGACGAAGGCTGCCGAAGAGAAGAAGAAGGCGGCTGCCGCAGAAGCCGATGAAGAGAATGGTGAAGATGAGGGCGAAGGTGGAGAAGGCGAAGATGAGAAGAAGGGAAAGGGAGGCAAGAAGGGAGGAGCTGCGGCGGGCAAGGGCAAGGGAGCGGCCGGGAAGAAGGACAGTGGTGAGAAGGAGAAGAAGCCCGTCAAGGCGCCTACGTCGTGGAAGGAGGTCAAGGCCTTTGTCGCCGTGAAGGACGAAGACAAGGCCAAGGCCATCGCTGCCTCCATCGAAGCCCTTGGCGGCAAGGTGCCCATTCTTCCCATTTCCTCAATCACTCGAGCAACGTTTGCGCTACACGGACCTTCAGTGCGCTGACCATCCCTCGCGTCACCAGGTGCAAACCCGCTTCACTGGACCGACGACGCATCTCATCTTTGATGCCGGTAAGAAGGCACACTTCGACAAGGCCACCGAAGCCAAAGTGCCCACCGTGACGCCCGAATGGGTCACCCAGTTCGTAGCGCCAATTGCTTCTTTGCTCGCGATTAATCTCGAGATCAACTGACTGATCATCTTCGGCCTGCGCGCAACAGATGTGAGAAAGAGAAGAAGCTGCTGGCTGCCAACAAGTTCACTGCCGAGCTGGGTGGAGGCAAGGGCGGAGCCGCGGCCAAGGACAAGAAGGAAGCGGCTGGTGCCAAGGGCAAGCCGGCAGCGGCCAACGGCAAGGGAGCAGCTGCCAAGGCCAACGGCGGCGCGAAGGCGAAAAAGAATGAAGCCGACAAAAAGGAGAAGACGACGGCCGCCGCCGCCGCCAAGGGCAAGAAGGACGACAACGTCGAGCTGGATGACGAGGAGGTCACCACCGATGACGAGGGTCGATCCAAGAAGGCCGCCGAAGGTACCACCCCCAACGACTCTTTCTTGAGCCTTTGCTGCCGGGCTGAGGCAAACGCATCTGATGACTGACTCTCGCACTACATTGATTGCAACAGCCGACGAGAAGACGAAGAAGGATGAAACGAAGAAGGACGGAGAGGAGGAGACAAAGGCGGGCAACAAGCGCAAGGCGACAAAGCCGCCGACGGCGGCCGAGAAGCCCAGAAGAAGGGCAAGACGGCCGACAAGGAAGAGAAGGAAGACGGCGAGAAGAGGAAGAGGAAAAGGAGGAGGAGGAGGAAGAGAAGGGTGGTAAGGGCAACAAGAGGAAGCGCGCCGCGGCGGCCGACAAGGACAAGGAGGGCGGTAAGGGCGGCAAGAAGACGGCCGCCGCTGCCAAGAAGGGCGGAAAGCAGCAGCTGCCAAGGGAAAGAAGAAGGGCGACGACGAAGCCGACGAGGCGGAGGAGGAGGAGGGGGGCGACGAGGGCAAGAAGGGCGCGAAGGGCAAAGGCAAGAAGAAGGCCGACGCGTCCAAGAAGCCTCCCGCCAAGAAGCGGAAGACCTCCACCAAAGGCAAGGGCAAGAAGAAGGGTACGTGCAAGTACTTGCATAGATGAGGAGGTCGCCTGTTGTGTGTAGCTCACCTCTCGTTGTGCCTCCACCAGACGAAGATGGTGATGAAGAGCAGGAAGAAGAGGAGCTGGGTCCGAGAGAGTCAAAGGGCAAGGGCAAGGGCAAGAAGGGCGTCGAGCTCCCCTCGTACTTCATCGTCACGAGCTACCTGGACAAGGAGAAGCGCACCATGCTCGACGACATCGCCTCGCAGCTCAAGAGCGCCGAGATCATGTGGGAGGCCCAGGTCGACGAGGACGCCACCCACCTGGTGTGCGGCGGCAACAAGCGAACGGAGAAGGTGCTCCAGTCCCTGGCCAAGGGCATCTGGGTGCTCAAGTGGGACTGGGTCATCGAGTCCATGGAGGCCGGCAAGTGGCTCCCCGAGGACAAATTCGAAGCCCACGATTGGTTCCCCGGCGCCAAGACCGCTCGCCTCGCACGTGGTACCGCACCACCCTCTTCGACACGACACACGATGAATGACACGCCGGAGGCTAACACCGAACATGCGTGCACACACGACACACAGCCCAGAATAAGGACAAGGGTCTGCTGCTGAAGAAGAGGGTCATGATCCGCGGCGGCGTGCGGGTGCCGTTGCACTCGCTGGAGCGGGCGATCGAGCTGGCCGGCGGGCATGCGACCGAGTCCTACCTCGAGGCCGACTACTGCATCGTGGGCAAAGATGCCGTCTACGAGCCCTGGATGGAGAAGTTCACCAAGGACCCCAAGAAGAAGTCCGTGCCCATCGTTCAGGAAGACGTACGTCTCACCTCTCGCCTCAATCTCTGGTGTGTCGTGCGTCGTGTGTCGTGTATGTCGTGCGTGTCGTGTGTCGTGTCAGCTCGAGCGATTGTATGTCTCACGTGTTATGATCATCAGTGGCTCTTGGACAGTCTGAGGGATTACAAGCTGCTGCCGTTCACGGACTACGCGGTGCCGACCAGCCCGGCGGGAGATGAGCAGGAGGAGGTCAAGCCGCGCCAGAGGAAGCGCGCGCCCAAGAAGGCGGTGAACGATGACGACGAGGAGGAAGAGGAAGAAGGAGGAGAAGAAGAGAAAAAGGAGAAGAAGGCCAGCGCCGGCAAGAGCAAGGGCGCCGCCACGAAGAAGGCGACGACGGGCAGCAAGGCGAAGGGAGCCAAGAAGGAAGAGGGAGAGGAGGAAGAGGAGGATAAGATGGAAGAGGAGGAGGCAAAGGAGGAGAAGAAGCCCGACCTGAAGAAGAAGGAAGAAGCCAAGGAGAAGGAAGAAAGGGCAAGAAGGAAGAGCAGGACAAGAAGCAGAACAACGACGACGATGAAGGCAGCGAGCAGATGGACCTGGAGGAGAGCGCCGGCGCCGACAAGCAGAACGGCACCACCAACAACGCCGACAAGGAGGAGGGCAGCGATCTCGACCTCCTTGAGGAGTTGGTGTAAAACGAAGGTGTCAAGGTCACCTTCTTGTTGAGCAATTTGTAGAAAGTCTTTCCATTTCCATTTTATGTCGACTATATTTGTTGGTATTCGAGGAATGGAACGCGGGATTTCCGTTGCGTTTCGTCAACGAGCCGGGCAGAAAGCACGCAATTCCACACACACTCTGATATAACCTGCCGCCCCGCAGGCCATCTTGAATCGATCAACTCACCAACGAGTCTGTCAACACCCCACTCCGCTTCCACCCTCCACTAAGCAATACATCCAAGGTTCGTGTCGGTGGCTGAGGTCGCTTTGGCAGGAGAAATGGCGAGTTAATCAAGATGTTTTATAATTTGATGTGCAGATGACCAAGTACATGGTTGCAGTTGACGGCAGCGAGCACTCGAACAAGGCCTACGCCATCGCGGCCAAGTTGCTCACCAACAAGGACGAGGTGATCTTCGTGACCGTTGGGCAGAAGGGCAAGGGCGCTGCTGCGCAGGATCTGCTCGAGACATGGACGAAGAAGGCCGAGGCTGATGGCGTACGCCCTCTACTCACCTTGAACAAGATCATCTGAACCTACCAATTCTCCGTGCCTAATTCCATCTCCACAGTTCACTGCCAAGCCGCTCTTCCTCGAATCGGCCGATCCTCGTGACGCCATTTGCAACGCCGTCACGGAGCACGGCATCGACATTCTCGTTGTGGGCACCAGGGGTCTGGGTACCATTAAGAGGTACACCTTGCTCCCCTTCATCGCTCATCTCTGGAGCTTCCAGAATGGCCACTGACAGACAGAATCTGTCGCAGGATGCTGCTGGGCTCGGTGAGCAACTACTGCGTGCAGCACGCCTCGTGCGACGTGATCGTGGCCAAGTAAAGAGGACCGCCCACAACGCCTTCAACTCACCTCTCAACCCAGTTTTGCTCCTTCCTCGCATCTCGTAAATACACCCTCTACGTTGTCATCTTCTGCGTCACGTCGAGAACTGCTTTTTTATTCTTGGTGCTGCTCAAGATTGCAGTAGGCTTCGAGCTCGTCTTCATCCGCATGCCCCATCTACTCGACGCTTGCCACACGGGAAGCATCGCTCGCGGCCTCCTCCCGCCCTTCGTCGCGGCCAGCGTCTTCTTTGGCGAGCCAAGAACCTTCTCGCGCAACTCGAGGTTGAACTCGAACTCAAAGAAGTTGTAGAGCTCGCCCGAAGTGGTCTTCAGGTCGTAGCGCTGCGCCTTGGGGATCGGCACGTCGGCCTTGGTCAACTCCTCCCTGACGACCTCCTCCGCCTTGGCCAACTCCTACGACCAGGAGGAGAGTAGTCTCTGGACCAGCTCCTCGTGCTCCTCGGCCACCTTCACCTCCCGCTCAACTCCCACTCGGGGAACAGGGCCTGTGGTCGTCGAGCGGTGTCTCGTCCCCGTCCCCCGCCTGGCCCGCCGGCGCGGGCGAGGACTCGAAGAGGGGACCATCTCGAGGTAGACGGAGCAGTAGACGACGACGGACCCTTCCTCTTTCAGGATTGGTCCATGCTCTCGAAGTTTGGTGGCGATAGAGCGAACAAGCCCCGCGCAGCTGCCGCCCATCGAGCCTCGGACGCGACAGTGACCGTCGCGGATGGTGTACAGCACGCCGGTGCCGAACACAGTCTTTCCAAGTGGTTGGGGAAACGTGTGGACCAAAGAAGGTGCGGGCCTTCCCAGCAGAACCGAACCAGAAAAGCCGGCTACTTGAAGCCCCATACTTCGAGGCTTAGGCAGTCGAAGTCTATCGTATCGTCGCTCAGCGGTTCGTTTTCGAATGTCTGGTTCGCGCGGTGTGGGCGTTGTGTTGGTTGATGCCGTTCAGCATTCAGGTGAAGTGGGCCATGTGGGAGCAGGGGAACTGAACTCACCTTGCTCTTCTCACTGGTGCCGTGCCACAGCTCTTCGTCCACGCACAGCCCTTTACTGCAAGTGCACACACGCACACACACGCACACACCGCACCGCACCGCACACACCGCACACACGATTGCCGCACCGCGTTCAGCGTGACTGCGTGATAATATGGCATTGGTGGCCGTCAAGGCGCGGAACACGCACGCATCGCCAAACTTGATCCCCCTCATCGTGATCCGCACAAAGTGCTTGGCGTGGCCGGCCAACCAGGGCCACACCTTCACCTGTTGCGGCCGAGGCGAGAAGCGCAGCGTGTGAGTAAGAGCGGCGTTTGTTGCGCGGGGCCGGAGTCACAGCGCTCGAGAAGCAGAACTGAACGTACGTCGGGCACGAGGTTGAAGAGGAAGTCCTCCGGCGTGCCGTAATAATTCTCAAACTGGCGACACAGGCGCAGCCCTTCCGTCGAGAACGCGCCGAACACCTGCGCAGGCGCGCGCGCGCGTGTGTGTGGTGTGTGTGTGTGTGTTTGGTGTGTGTTAAGTGAAATCACAGTGACAGCCAGGGCACGACGCACCCTTCGGTTCTTGTCCCTAATCAGCAACACGGCCGGATGCACGTCGTCGCACTTTTCCAACAGCGACGACAAACTGAAAGCATTCGATGACGGCAAGTGTGAGCCCAATCCTCCCTGCAACTGCCCGTAGACGTGCGCGGTGGTGGTGGTGGTGGTGAGTACCTGAACCCGTGCTTGGTGGTGGAGAAGAGGAGCTTGGGGTCGCGAATGGAGAAGCGCGAGGGGATGATCGACCACAGGGCCTGGAACTGCACTTCGTCCATCAGCTCCGACGTCTCCGTGATGCTGGGCATCACCAGCGGCTGGTACAGCGGCTCACTGGTTCGCAAGAGAGAACATGACGTCAGCATTCCATGCATTCCTGAATGGGAGGGGTTGGGGGGACTTGCCTGACGCCGGCGAGCTTGGTCTTGTTGGCCTCGTCGAAGGCCGAGGTGTGCTTCTGCTGGAAGGAGAGCCCGAAGGCCGCCTTGAGCAGGCCGTCAGCGTCCACCATCTGCAGCGCCACCTGCTCGACCGTCGCCACGAACCCCGTTGCCGTGTCGCACCTGCCCCAAACCGTCAGCCTGGTGCAACGTGTGCGTGTGCGATGCTGCGTGTGCGGTCGTGTACCGGAGTAGAGCTCGTCGGCAGCCTTGGAGAATGGCGAGGCCGACTCGGTAGAGGACGTGACTGCCCTCCGCCAAATAACAATCGAATATGCGCAGCACGGTCTGACGTAGCCCCCCCGCCGCACAAATGAGTCGCAGGCGGGCCATAGACCACCCGAGTGGTGGTGAACGAGAGGAGTCATCACGTACGAGGAAGGGGAGAGAGCCCACAAACACGCGCTTGAACCACACGTCGGCGAAGTGCTCGGCCTCCACGCCCAGCACGTTCATGTCTGCACTCGCGAAGTCAACAATAGTGTAAATGTAGATCTCAAGGTTTACATGAATAGATGTGTGTGTGTGTGTGTGTGTGTGCTTTTTATAAGAAAGCAGGGCGCATACGGGCAGACACGTCGGGCAGGCACTTGGCGATGAGCGAGCGGAATGTGTGAAGGAAGAGCGTGAGCGTGCGGTTGGTCAAACAGAGATACCTGGACACGATGGCGGTCAATGACCAATGAACAAGGGTCGACGGTTGACGGACGAGCGAGAGTGCCAGGCAGCAGCAGCAGCGATTGGATGGTATACCAACGGTTGGCGCGGGACTGTTCGAGTATGAGGTGGGTCACAAGGTAGGCGTCGGCCTCCGAGAGGAACGTAAGCAGCACGCACACTGTTGCGGGTACGTGCGAGCGACATGTCAGACAGCAATCACACAAACGCCAGCGCGCGCGCACACACACACAGCGCACCCAAGTCAGGAATGGCAGGCACATAGTCGATGTCGGGGTATTCCTGTTCACACCATTACCGCCACGCCCACCACCGTTCGTGAGGAGGCAACGACGGAGTGAAGGCGTGATTGGGAGCAGATTGGCGGTTCCACTCGTACCATGGTGAGAGCCCAGAGCAAGCGGGCGGCGGCGGTCAGACCGTGCGTTGTAAGGTAGTGCTCGCCGGGGCGAAGCTCGCCACCAAAGGCCGGCACCTGGTAGAACCTGGCTCGTGCCACCACCCAACACCACCACCCGGGCAGGCGTGGTGAGCGGTGTGTGCGGCGTGTGCGGGGTGTGCGGTGTGCGGTGTGCGGTGTGTGCGGTGTGGGGTACCGGGTGGGGAGACGGTTGCCGAACACGCGTTCGAGGACGTCGGCGTAGTAGTTGGGATAGGCCCGCTCGAACTCGACGCACCCCACCGCCGTGCGCCACACCTGCGCGCGCTTGGAATCCGGCACGCCCTTCCGGATGTCGCTTCGCAGGCCCTGCACGCACTTGTTTCTGGCGCGGCAGCACCGGCCCACCAACTCATCGTTGAGTCCACGACCCGCCATCGTGTTTGGAATTCCGACAAGGTGGAGGTGGCGGTGGCGATGGCGACGGCGTGGTACCTGTCGGCGGGAATGGTGGTGGACGACCACTGGGAGATGAGCTTGGCCTTGGCGCTCGACAGGAAGCTCTGTCCCTTCTTCAGCTTGGCGTAGGCCTGCTCGTCCCTCAACGACTCCACATTCTTCAGCCTGGTGGTGCCACCACCGCCACTCACGGTGACAATCAGCATTTCCCCCACTACACGCACGATTTCTACAGAGAAGCGTACTCGCGGGCGGAGAGCTTGGTGAGCTCAAACTCCTCCTCGATGTACTTGTCGACCTCGGCCGCGGAGGCGTGGGCGGTGCGCGGGCTCGGCTGCTGCGACTGTACAGGCTGCTTGTCGATCGTCACCCACGGCTCGCTGCCGCCGCCGCTCACCTCCGCGTCTTCGGCTGTTGTAGCGGCCGCCGCTGTTGCGTTGTCGCTCTGGTCCTGGTGGGCGCCGTCGGCAGAGGTCGTTGCCGGTGTCGGTCGTTCGATGAGCGACCACGGGCTCGTGCTGCGCTGGGGCGCGCTCACCGGCTGCGGCGCACGTTCGGTGCTCTCCAGGAATGGCACCGACTGCACGATAATTATTAACATTATTAATAATATTTAAAATAATAATAATAATTATTATTATATTCAAATAATAAATAAAATTTGCTGCAAATATATGTAATAAATTGGATTGTTGGGTGGTACGTTGAAGGAGAGCGAGTCGGTGGTGAAGGTCCACGTCTGGTCGAGCCCATCGTCGGCCAGCCTCACCTCTTCCTCCTTCTCGAATGCCTCCTCGGCCTGTTGTTGCTCCTCCGCCACCTGTTGTTCTGCTTCTGCCTCGGTGCACTCGGCCTCCTTGTTGGTTGGCTCTGCTGCTTCTGGCTGCTGCTGCTGCGAAGGGAGAGGGTGGGAGAGGCGCCACCGAAGATGGAGCGAAGGAGGCGGGGCGCTGGCCGCCGCTTGTAGGCGCTGCACCAGCTCACGACGCTCGTCCTCGCTCATCATCACGAATCCCCAGGGCGACAGGTTCGTTGCTGCTGTTGACGATGATGGTGCGGCTGCAGAACCCACCGATGTGGCGGCACCGTGGCTCCTTTCCTCATCCACTTCCTCGAACTCGTCGATGAAATCGTCCACAGCATCGCGCAAGCCACCAAATCTGAATTTGCTATCATCCTCCATCTTCCCTTCCCCTCTTATGTGCAAGCGTGGTCAGGTTTTCTGTACAGCCTGGCTCTTGTTCGATGGAATAACTGTGTAGATGGAGGAGAGATGGAATCTTCGAGTGAAAAAGTCGATCTTGTCTCTGGTGCGAAGTAAGCAGAGCGCTACACCGCCTTTTCGAGGGTGCCCCTGTTCATAAGGACCGCGAGGCAACAACAACGTTATGGTCACGTTGTGGTGATGAAGGTTGGTTGTTTGTTTGCCAAATGTTTGGTGAGGTTGGTTGTCGTGTGTGAGCACATCTATGGCGGGGAGACCGCTCTCTGTCTCCCTTGTCCTTGTTCATCTCTTCTCCTCGGCCCACTCCGCCGGACCCGTCTGCTCCCCGCGCTCCTCGTCGTCCCCCCGGACCACCTGCAGCGGCAGTCGATCGCAATATACGTTGGTATGGTATCGTATGGTATGGTTGGTTGGTTGCTTCGACTTAGGCGTCGGCCTTCTCTTCTTCGAGGGATTCGACCTTGACGGCCTCCAAGGCAGCCAGTCGCTTCTGCTCCTTGATGGTGTACTCCTGGTAGCTGTAGGCGCAGATGCCCATGAATGCCACCACGCAACCCATTCCATTGTAGGCCGTGATCTGCATTGAAGAGAAAGATGAAGATGATGAGTTGGTGTCCAGGTCTGCAGCGTGTGCGGTCGCAGTGAAGAGATATCGGTCTATACCTCGTTCTGGAAGATGATAACGGACAGGAGGATGACGATGACCACCTTGAGGTTACCGAACACGGTGAAGGTGAGGGCCGACGTCGACTTGATGGCGAAGAACACGCTCAGGTCTGTTGGCAAACGGAGGTGAGTGTCTGAGTGCACACGCGCGCGAGACCGATAAATACGAATGGCGCGGAGCAGCACGTACTGAGAAGGAAAGCGACAAAGCCAGAGAGGAACAGGAGCAGGACGATCTCGTGCGCGCTGACGTCCACGTAGGAACGGTTCATCACGTCTTCGGCTTCGAAGTAGTCTGCACGTCATTGAGAAAGGGGAAAATTTAGTGTGAGGAAGTGCGCACGTATGGTGGAGATGGGCCGGAGTGTGCGTACAGGCAAAGGGCAGGTTGACCAGGAACGCAAGCGGAGCCTGAGCGTGCCACGGTGGCCCGAGAGCGTGCGCGGTCAGCAACGGAATGGGAATTGAAGCGAGTGAGGCGGGCGTGAGCGTGTACCATGTAGTACAAAAGGTTGACTGAGTCCAAACGGTATTGACCCGTGAGCAGAACAGAGGACAGCACGCTCTGCACGGCTGTTGTGCACACAATAGGAAGTTGTGATTATATCAGTGAGCAGCCAGCTGCAGACCAACGAACATCATGAGCGCGACCGGTACCAGTGGTGAGACACGCGACGAGCGCGCAGGTGAAACCGATCATCTCAAAGTTGACTTCGGTAGCGGTGGCCATCGCCACGCCGCCCACCACGGGGACCAGCGCCAGGTAGGTGCCCCGGGGGAAAGTCCTGTACCGTACCGCGGAATGGCAATTAGGCACTGCGCACTGTGTGAGCGAGTGAAGAGCGACACTAGGACACGTACATCCCCAGTCCAAACACTTGAAGCAACACAGTGAACGCTGGCACCGCAGACTATGTTGATTGAAAGGAGAGAGAGAGAGAGAGAGGAAGAGTTGAGCTTTGTGGGTAACCACCATACACGGGTGCAGAGCGAGCGATCCACGGAGTGGGCGTGGTGCATGTGGTGGTGGTGGTGAACGTACCTTGATGGTTTGCATGAAGGAAACCGGAATGAATCGCAAGCTGATGTTGCCGAGGATGATATTAACAAAGAAAATAAGCCTGCGCACGGGGGAAGGGAACACATGACACCAAAAAGAAGGTGAGGAGGTAAGCCAGCGACTTGAGTGTCTCTGTGTGGTGGGAGAGAAGAGGGTGAAGAAGCAGTACGCGAGAGGAAAGACGTTGGTGAGACAGTTGGCCAGAGGAATCTGCACGAAGGGCACCGCCTTGAACACCTGCAGGTGCCGGCATGATGAAGGCCATCACCACACGACCACGAAGAGCCAGTGAGCGAGAAGACACGTGGAACTGTATGTGCTATTGAAGCGTGTGTCGACTTCGTACACGCAGAGTGAGCCAGGCTCCGACGCTACACACCAGCATGTGCACCTGCGCAGGGAAGCACCACCATCACCGTGAGTCCCTCTCCGTGTGCATGTTCATGTGCGTGCGTGCGGGGCTACGTACTCCGGTGAGGGTGAGCGGGTAGGCGAATTGGAGGATTTGGAAAATCCATTTGTTGGCAATGACTGTGAAGATGTTGGTGACCCACCACAGCAGGATCGACACCACCGCCGCTTGTCCAGCGCTCATCTCTGGCATTAATCCCATTTTTGCGTGTTTAACCTGTAGAGATCCCTTCTTCCTTATTCTGTAACATGTGGAATCGTTAGCATGTGTGAATGTGATTTATGAATTGTGAATTAGGAATGGTACCTATCTATCTCAGATAATCGAGAATTGCAATAAGGTGCACTAATGTAGTGTTTGCGTCGTCGACTGGAGGGGGAGTACAACCGCGAGCCCGGAGTGGTGGTGTGCGAGTTGGACCTGTCTGTTGTGTTTGGCACTTGGCGCCACGCAACACACGAGGCCCACAAGAAAGCGCGCGTTCAAGAAAGAAGAGCTTGGAAAAGGAAAAGCAGACGAAAATGAAGCGTGATGCATTGACCAGGTGGTGCTTGGTTCAAGGGTAGTGGGAAGCAAACGAAACTGATACGAGACACACCACGCAAAGTCAGCTTGTAGCCTTGCCTGGTACCTGACCACCAACCCACCAACTACAACTCACAACTTAGGCCGCGAGGACCGGGTGTCGTGTCCAAGCCTTGTGGCGCTGCCGGGTTTGAGTTGGGATGAGACGACTACGGCCGGTTGGCTTGCGACGTCAACCGGCCCAACAGCCACCGGAGACCACGTCTCGTCTCTGTGGTTGGTGACATTCGCGATTGTGTCAGAACGGCAACACGGCGCGAAGAGTGGCGAAGGCGTACCGCATGGACGGTTCCAGCATTTCGATGTACATCATGTACCTGCCAGCTGTGTTGAGGCGGTAGGTCACCTCGTGGAAGCCGTCCCGTAGGTCTCTCACGTCGGCTTCCCCGACGCGGTCACTGGAGAGAAGGCGGCGATGGGGTTAGTCGCCTTGCAACCAGTAAATGGAAGGAAGCGGCAAGCAGGGCACACCCGAACTCGTCTTGGAAGTGCACTCGGAAGAGGTCGCCTCCCTCACCGCGAATGTTACCGTAGTAGTCCCTGCGGGACGGTCAGTGAAAGCGAGAGTCGCGCCGAGCAAGAGGGCAGAGATGAGGTGGAGGAGGGTACTTGGCGATGATCTCGAACGTGTTCACTGCTCGGGAGATGCCCCTGCTCGCAGCTGCACCTCTGATCTCGCATTTGGCGGCGAAGGTCTCTTCTGCGTGCGGTAGTGAGAAAACAGCAAATACATGACTCACGCAAGTGGTATTAGCTGGACCGTACCTTCGGCTTCCACCCTCACAAGGAACGGACTGCCGGGGACTTGGAATCCGTTGACCGTGACCCGCAACATGTACTCGCCGGCCAGGTTGGTCGCGTACCGCGCCTCGTACAGTCCCTCTCCCTGCACCGGCGAGAGAGAATGGAAGACTCAATGTAGACGCTCTGTTGCACGTTGATGGTGCATCGCGTACCTTGTGGAGGACATCGACGATCACGTTGAGTGGACCAGAAAAGTATGCGTGAACGACATCATCTTCATTGGCCCTCGCGTTGCCGAACTCATCCCTGGACGAGAGCCAGTCAATGGGGAGAAGTGCTGGTGACTGAGAGTCCGATACGAGTACCTGGCCTGCACGGTGAACGTGGCCGGGAGTCCGGCCATGGCAAGGTAGAGCCCGGGACCCTGGACCAGTGAAGCCAAAGGGTCGGTTGGACCCGCTCTGCCCATCACCGTGAACGGGCTGGAGAAAGGGAATGAATGTTGCGTGTGGAGTGGGCCAATGTAGTAAGTGTCGCTACGACCTTTGATCCAATAGGATGCCTTGGTGGTAGACGGAGATGTTGTACAGCGCAGCTCTGGAGACGCGGTAAAGCAGAGTGTAGGTTCCGTTCTTATGGTCCACGATGGCCGATTTATCCACATCGGGGCCTGTCGGATTGAGTGAGTAAGTCACGGGACTGCAGAGAAGTGGGCGAAGAAAAGAGGTGTGGCATACCGTCCACGTGCATGGTGAATTGTTCGCCTCCTGTCGTCATCGGCTGGCCGTGAATGTCTATGGCCTGGACGTGGACAGGCATCTGCTGGCCTGCGTAGGGTTTTCGCACAAGGTGAGTAACGCCCCCAAGCGAGCTGAGTGTAAGGAGGCACCTGCTGGAGCCACCCCGCTCGTCCCACGCCCGTAGACATACGTCCGCTCTGGCGAAAGCTCAGCCTTTGTGCCGTTGAAGCAATGCGTATCCGTCACGGTCACCCGGAGGAAGTTGTTCGGTGTATTGGCCATGCAAAAGTCCTGTGGTGCGTTGAATCGCATCAGGCCACTGTGTGCACGGTCCGTGTTTCATTCTTTGGCGTACCTGGTGCCGCGCATACACGGCTCGAATGGTGAGGCCCATGATCGGAGTATCCTTACACTCCTGGCGTAAAGCAAGTACCGTAAGACCTAGTTCACAAGAAATCATCGCTCAACTGCGCTCTCTGCGCGATGTACCCCATAGAGCGACTTGCAGAAAGACGAGCAGATTCGCATGCCTTGCTCTTCGTTGATGGTGTCATACGGGTCCAGGAAGTGAGGTCGGTGGGGGCTGCACTCGTAGCCACACCACAGGTCCTCAAACAAAGCCTGGCAATTGGGCTTGTGCTGGCCGGGAGGGGGTGACGAGGTCATTTGACTGCCGTCGACACAAGGGTGAACAACGGGCATACCTTGAAGAGGGGGTTGATCGCCTTGGCCATCCACTGGTCAACTGACCGATCCTTGTCAGCGGTGCAGCAAGCCTTCTCGTTGTACCACTTGCATCTCTTCAGCTGCGGCTCGGGCTGAGTTCAAGTACAAAGACTTTAGCGAGTCAAGTGACCGAGGCAAGATTCTGTGACAAGAAAGCGAACCCGTTGTGCACGTCGGTTGGTCTTGGGAACAAGGCACTTGTTGTGGTCGACAATCGTGGTGTACGTAGGGCTGTTGCTTACGTGCTGACCTTCTAGCAGCACCGATATCTTGTATCGACCTGGAATCCGCTCTCAAGCATTAGTGTCGTTGCACGGCACGCAGAGAAGACTGTCAGGTTACCCACCCGGGTCGCTGAGAACAAACGAAACCGAGTAGAGGCCATTGGACATGTCGGTCTGCTCTACATCGATGCTCACTCCCTCCGGAATCTGCTGCACCCTGGCCATAAAGTGGTCACCTCCGTCGCGCACCTCTTCGCCTTGTGCGTCCACCGCCTGCCAGCCATCGCTAACACGTCAACGAGGGAGAGGCCACGATACAGCAAAAGGTGGGACAGACCTGAATGAAGAAGCTCCACCGTCCGGCAAAGTCTGCTGTCAGACCTTGGCCATAGGCGAACGACGTCTTTGCGCTCGCCGTAGTCGGCCGTCCGTTGAAGCACAGGTGCTTGTGGCCGTCCCTGTGTGTTATAGATTCGCGAAAGCGAGTCTCCATTAGAGGTCCACACCTCTATGGGCATTCGTGGTGAAAAGACACGAACCCAGACTTGGTAGGAATGTCCTCAACCACAACGATCTCGACGTCAGATGGCGCCATCGACTTGCAGAACTCTTCTGCAGCGGTGGACGAATGTTCAGAGTCCCAGGTCATCGCAGCATCCCATGTTGGTCCGGCCTCCGCCTCTTCAACCTCTCTCATTCCTTCGTCACTGCACGCAGCGTACAGGCGATCGCAGAAGGAGGAGCACAGCCTGTAGGTGTAAGGCATCTGCGGCGATGCCGCCAGCTTGAGTTTAGAGCTGGACTGCATGGGATTGGTCTTCTCGACGAAGTCTGCCTGCGCTGGCGAGCACAACAGACCGCATCGCATGATGTGGAGAAGCGAGAGGCACTCGCCGTTGGTGCCGTCCTGCCCGCCACGCTTCTGCGAGACGTAGAGCCAACGGATGAGGTCGTTTGTGTCGCGGTGATCGCAGCACGCATTGTCCGCATACGACGAACATGTCGTGATGGGCGGTTGTGGCTGCACAAGTAGGTGCACGCGTCAGCCTAGCAGGGCACTGGAGAGGGTAGCCCGGGGGGCGGGGCACCTTGTGCGGTGCCTCTTCGTTTTGGTAGGGGCACTGCAGCGGTTCCAATGTCCCTGTCGCAGCGCTGCCGCTACTCAGTACCAATGCGAGCAGCACGAGCAGTGGAGCCCACCGTGACCCCATCACCCGCCCCAAACCACACTGACACTGATGTCTTGGCGTTCTTTCTCTGTGAAGGGTGGCGGGCTTTTTCCGGACAGGACAAGAACGAAAACACGCGAAAAGGGCGTAGCGCAGTTTGAAAGGAGCAAATTTTGGGGTATTTCGTGCCAACGCCCAGCAGTTCGCCGATCGTTGAGACACGCGTAGGCTAAGAAAGGAGTTTCTTTGTGGCCTAGAGATCAAGCAGCTTTGCAAATCGATAACAACCCACTGATTCCATCAAGAACCCCTGCATCATCCGCAACAATGAACAGCGACGCTTCCGATACGCCCGATTACCTTCTGAAGAGTTCGTTTGTCTCAAAATTCTATGTTGCGCCGCAATCTCCCGCTGCTCTGCTCAATGCACAATCTGATCTTTGTCTCTTTACACAGTCGTCATCGTGGGCGATTCTGGCGTTGGCAAATCGAACATCATGTCTCGATTTACCAACGACACGTTCGAGGAGAGCTCCAAGACTACGATTGGTGTGGCATTTGCCACAAAGAACATGGCCGTCGAAACGTCTAATGACAGCACTAAGGATTGCAAGAAGCAAGTAAAGCTGCAAGTATGGGACACGGGTACGCCTCTACTGCATCACCACTACTCGCGCCTTCTAAATCTCATCCGCCAATCTCGCGATTTTTCCACCTCAGCCGGGCAAGAACGATATCGTGCCCTCAGCAGCGCGTACGTCATCCTCACCAAAACTCTGCTTCAAGGGTCCATGCGCGTGCACGCCGTGCCTGTTCCTAATGATGATCCCCAGATACTACCGCGGAGCCCAGGGTGCTTTGGTTGTGTACGATATCACGTCTCGGGAGTCATTGGACTCCATTCCCAAATGGCTTGAGGTATGCACGTACAAGACGCAACGCTTGCAATTCCAAGCTGCGAACCAGCATCTCACGGCTATGAGCGCGTTTTCGCCACGTAGGAGATCGACAAGTACTGTACTCAGGACGTTGTTGTCACGCTCGTAGGCAATAAGCTCGATTTGAGCGAAAACGTAAGTCTATCTCTCTCTAACAAGGCCTGCACAACGTCTACACTCAATCGTCTCATCGCTCTGTTTCTTCGGAATATCGCAGCGGTGTGTGAGCGTCGAAGAGGGAAAGAAGGTGGCGGCTAGAGAGAATATGTTCTTCATCGAGACCTCCGCCAAGGACGCTACCAACATCGAGAAGGCGTTCACGCACCTCATCAAGGGTACGCGCTTCTTGTGATCGCCCTGCATGACCGCATTCACTGACCGAGGCCTTACTTATGCACACAGAGATCATCCAGAGCAACCTGTCTCAGGCCAACAATGACGGGAAGATCGCCGGCAAGGTAAGCGGAACTCTCATATCTTCTACTTGGCGAGCTGTTTGTCGTGGCTGATCTCTTTCACCTTGATCATCTATTCAAGGCTCCTTCCGATACGGGCATCACGTTGAAGCCGCCAGAGGAGCCGGAGAGCGACCCCAACGCTCCGCCTCAGCCGGGCTGCAGCTGCTGAGAGTTTCTCGACAGCGACGCGTTGCACAGTTTTTTTCTCCATGCGGAGGCATGGAAGAGAGGAACAACAGGAGGACACGGGTGAAGAAGAAGAAGTGGTGGCGAGGATGAGGATGGTGTATATCGAGAGGCAGGAGAGCTGGTGTTCAATTATTTATTTTATTTACTCTACACAAGCGTATTACACGGTGACGTGGCAGTGGGGACTTGGCGTGACTAGGCAGCACAAACAAACAAGGCCATCATAACAATACACGACCACCATGCGTACTGCTACCGCCTATCCACCTTCTCCTCTTTCCGCCACGCTCCAGCGTTCGTCGAGGATTGGCACAGTGGTGGGGGTGGCTGCGTTGGTCTACGTGCTCTACTGTCTGGGCACCGCGCACGCCATCATGCCGCCGCCCAACTACACTAATGACCACCACCTGCCCGCAGTCCATCCGCTACCACCCGTTATCGCCACCCACCTCCTCCCGCACGGCCTGCAAGCCGTCATGGGCACCGTGCTCCACCTTCACTCGATCGACGCTCCACCCTCTCCTCATGCTAGCCCTGTGGGTTCATTCACTCCTCGGGCGATCGCTCGGGTAACCCTCACCTTGAAGCCAGACTTCGGGTTCCACATCAGGTCCACCTTCAACAGCGGGAGCGGGCGCTGGCGCGTCTCGGGCCAGCACAACATCACGTTTGGCGAGGGCGCGTGGACGGAGATGGCCCCTTCCTGCGACAACACTCAGGGCGAGGAACTGGTACTGTGCCACCAGCGGCTGACGATCGAGGAGCTCCTGTACGACGCCTTCGGTCGAGACCACGAACTGTCCCTCACGTTCGTGCCTTCGGTGCGCCAGTTCATTCTCACCGACCGGCGCGGGCTCTGCTTCGTCTTCAGGATCCCGCTTGAGCCTGGCCAGTAGCCTGGCGCCAAAAAATAAAAATAAATGATGAATGAATTTGAAATCGAAAGTAGTTGAATAGGCCAGAGCACCAGCATGCCGCGTAATCCGTCGGTGAGGCTGTCGCGGTCGTCTTCGAGCTTGGGTGCGGGTGGAGGCCCAGGCAAGAATAGTGATGATGATGAGATGGGTCTCTGGACTGCGGGAGGATTGATCGTCGCGGCAACGATCGGGTGGTCCTCCTACGCACCCCACGTCGTGTTGGCGCACCGCCTGACCTACGCTACCTCCTCGATCTCGCTTCCCTACCCGGCTTTCACGCATCAGTTCCATCTGCGCGCCCTGCACCACGAGGCCAAGCTCATCGATTCTCACGCCCGACGTCTCCGTCAGCCCCTGAACCTCCTCCACCCTGGTACCTCTTCATCTTGCCTGCACATTTAAATTTTTATTTATTCAATATTAATAAAATAATTATAATTATAATGTTTGGTGTCAGGCGTTCTGGCGCACACGGCGCAGGCGTGGGCACAGAGCGTGGTGGAGCTGGTCACCGTAGCTGTTTGCTCGCCCTCGTCTGACGCGTCCCAGCTTGTACTGTTCCCCTGTTCGCCTTCTTCTCCCTTCTGCCTCCCTGCACAGAGCTGATTTGATGGCATCAGAGACGACTGGGAGCAAAGGCTCTGGGTCTGCTGTTGGGCTCGTTGGCCTCTTTCCCCTTCTTCATCGCTCAGAACCGCCTCTTTGCTCAGTTGGTACCGCCCAGGCTATCACCACTGCTCCTCTCACAATCTGACTGCAGTTCGCTGACCTCCCTCCTTGTTGTGCTAGGCGGGCGAGGTCACCGTTCTGCCGCTCAAGTACACGGGCCTCGGACAGACACTCAGCAGCATCAACTACGTCGACACCTTCCGCTACGCGTACGCCCTTCACTCTTTCTTCGAGTTCTTACACACCCACAGTCTCGGTGAGGCTGACTGGGTTTGCATCCCCATTACATAGGTTCATCCCGCACCTGCTGACCTCGGTGGTGTCCGACGCAATCTATTCCTACTACTCGCCCCGAGAAGTACTTCTGCCTTTCATCTTCTTCTTGGCAGCTCTCTAACCACCGACTGTCATGACGACACGCAGGAAACGATAGCGAACTGGATCTATCGAAAGCTGCCTCCCTTCAAGTCCCGAAGCAAAAAGGTCAACAAGACCAAGCGCCTCATTGCCTCTACGGCGAGCAACATCCTGTTCAGCGTGCTCGGCGACCTGGTGCTCAGGTGAGCCCCCCCCCAATCTTGCCTTCCATCGCATGAGCTAATCGAGCGCGCGCGTACGCATGTGCGTGTGCAGCCCGTTGTATGTGGTGAGCACGACCATGGCCATCCAGGGCAGCGGCCTCGAGGTCGCGTTGGGCACGCCGCGCTACTCCAGCGGCCTGCACTGCGCCGAGGATATCTTTGTGCGGCACGGACCACTTGCCTTCTGGCAGGTGCGCCGCCCACCACGCACACGCACACGCACAGCAATGAAGACATGTTGACGAACGTGAATGTGTGCACAGGGTTTGGTGCCGGTGCTGTACAGCGAGTTGGTGCCGCAGGCGATGGCGACGACCTTCACGGCGCTCGTCTTCAACGCCTTCGCCTACCTGCGCGAGGAGTGAGTACGAGGAGGAAGAGTGGCTGTGTCGTGGAAGTGTTGTAACGTTTGTAGAAAGGGTTGAATTCCATCCGATATATATCACAATCACTCGTCGCCGTCGCCATGTCGCACCACCCGATCGGCTACCACTTGAAAAAGTACAGGAGGGCGAAGAGGAAGAGGAGGGTGAGGAGCATGCCGCCGTAGACGAGCATCTTGTCCAGGTTCTGGCGGTTCTCGATCATCCGCATGACCGATCGCGAGAGACCCAGCGTGTTACCCACATCCAACAGCTTCCTGTGCGCCGACTAGATGAAACCAAACACAGAGGAATGAGGTACCGTTCATCATCATCAATCACCAAGGCAATGTGCGCTATGTGTACCTTGATGAGCTCGTTCTGTTGGCCAAGAGAGGAGAGGATGGAGGACCCCATCTCGTGGATGTTCTGTGCGGCCCTGTTGGACCGGTCCAGCGAATTCGACTCCTGATACAGGTTGTCGATCGCGACCGACGTCGCCTGGTGAAAGGAATGTATAGAGTCGATAAGAGGACTTCACACATCAGAAGCAAACGCAAGGAGGCGCACGAACACATGAAGAAGAAGAAGAAGAAGAGGGCAAACCTGTCGCCTCATCCGGCCTTCACCGAGCAGTTGTCGTCTCTGTTCCTCCTCCTGTTCCTTTGACCGCCTCTTTTGTAGTAGGCTTCCCAACGAGTTTCTCATGTCCTTGTACTCTTCAGCAATCTGCTGAATGCGTCTATTGGAAAGCGTGAGTGAGTGTGGGGTGCAGATGTAGTGGGGGGAGGGAGAGTACATTCTCCAAATCTCCTTGCGTTTGGAGTTTTGGGAAGGGAGACACTCCATCTCCAGGCTATTTAGCAATCGAGAGAGGCTCGTGAGGTTGAGCTGAATCGTTTCTTGTAGCGAGAGGGACGAATTCTCTCCTGCCGCCTCGAGCTGCTCGAACTCGAGACGAAGATCCATAAGGAGCTTGTTCGTCTGCTTGTACTTTTCATCTATACCCGCAACATCCTGCATCTTTGTGTTTGATTCTCGTCGTGTGGTGGATTCGTTCTTCTTGTTGGCCACGTCACTGTCTGGGGGGGGGATGCCAGCACGAGCTGACGTCAGCAACCACTGCCCAGTTGCAGGATTTACAGGAAACTGCCAAATCACATCAAGATGGCACAGCAAAGGGCGCAACGCATGCCCATCCACAATCCACAGGACAACGATGAGTTCACATCGTTGGTAGACCAGCAAGGTACCGGCATACGCCCCAACAGTCACCTTCCAACAATCGGATTACTGATTTCATTCGAGATTAAATCATTGTACTGTTTCTAAACGATTCGTAGGGTGCGGCAAGTTGTATTGGCACCTGGAGGATTGCATGAACAAGAACGAACGTAATCTTATCGCCTGTTCGAAGGAGATGAGCGATTGGCGAAAGTGCTACAACGAATTCAAGGCGCAGGAGCAATCCGGTCCAGCACAACCTCAGCAAAGCGAACGACGCACGTAGCCAAGCTTGGCCACCCATTCTGCACAGCCTCCCTATCCCTTGCCTCCTCTTTATGCTTGACTTGTGTTCACAATAAACCTTCATCTTCTACAGCACTGCACCTTTGGGCGTGGCACCTTCTTACTTGCTTTCATCAGGCTTGACAGTGACCAGGGTAATGGGTATATCACCACAGCGATCTACCACGGCCTGGCTGCCCGAGCCCAAGAACCTCCTGGAAGCACAGTAGGAAGGGTTAGACGTGGCCAACTCGATGGAGAAGAAGGCCGAGCTAACCCGAGGAATGACCTCTCCGACCGCCTTCTGCGTGCCAGGATGACGTTCTGGGCGTGGTGCCTATCCGCGATGGAGCACACACTGTCTCCGAACTTGCTCATGCGATCGAAGTGGAAGTGGATGAAGTCGCACTTGCGCTGCACACGCAGGGACACACAAGACGACACGACACGGCACGACACGCGTCAACGCCCGGCTCGGTAGTGAGCGCTGCGCCCGCCGGAGACTTGTACGCACCCCAGCTTTCTGGCACATGTCGGTGTACTTGATGTAGACGTCGGGCAGCTCCTTGTCCCAGTAGTGGCCCTCGCGCATCGACGACACGCTGAAGGTGCCCCACGACAGCTCCTCCTTGTGCGGCACGTAGGCACCGAAGAGCAGCATCAGGCGGTGGTCCGGCGGCGTCTCCCTGAGGGCGAACTGCATCGCGCGATCGGCGCCCTCGCTCCCATCCACGCACACGATGTCCACCGCCGGCGTCTCCTCTTCGTCCTTCCTCGACTGTGACACAGGCCTCCAGTAGCTCATTGATAGTACCACCCTCTCTTCTTGCTTCCCGGCTGCTCTTTGCTCTTTCTCGAGATATTTGTCATGAGCGTTGGCGTGACCAGTCCTCTTCTACACGCCAGGCCGCCTTGTCATGATTGATGTCTGTGACGCGCCAGGTCTGGCCAGCATTCGCCCGCTGTTCGCTCAGTTCCTCCCAGCAGCCCACCGACTTCTGCCCGAAACCAATCCATCACTCATCTGGTATGTGGCCCCATTCTATGGCCACCAACATGTTGGTTGCTTCCCTCGGCTTTTTTGAATGTCTTTCAATGGGGTCAATCGCCCACGACCTGGGGTGGTGTTCAGATTGTCCCCAGCAACCACCAATGCGGGCGATCGAATTTAAATCATTTTTGGCCAACTGGCAAATTGCGTTCGCGCTCCGGTCGAACGGCGCCAAAACCTTGTGCGTCGCACAGCCCGGTCAAGGAGAAGAACGCCGAGCAAGAGAAGACAATCGATTTGCGCCAATCGATTGAAGTGTTGAGGGCCAAGATGGAGAAGAAAGATCTGGAAATCCAGTGCACCAACCACAAGGCGTGGGGCATTGGCAAGACCAATATCGCACGTTTCCCTCCGGCTCGTCGTTAATCTTCTTTTTCCCTTCTACTGCCGAAGAGATTGCTCATTTGTTTGTTTGTTGTTGTTGGCGCCTCTGTCGCCACAGGTGTACGAAGTCGAGATCAAACACAAGGACGGCACCCAGTATTGCATCTCCCGTACCTACGATGAATTTCAGAATCTGCACAAGACGGTAACTATCTCCTGCTTTTTATTTTTATTTATTTTTTCATATGATATTAGTTATCCTTATTTGTCATTTGTCATTAATAATTATTTTATTTTTTATATCGTTCGATTTTTGTGTCAGTATTCTCACGCGGTTGGGGTGAGTGAGCAGCTCAAGAAGGAGATGAAGAAGGACCTGAGGAAGAAGCTGCCCAAGTTCCCCACCGGCATGTTCGTGAACACGCACGACAAGGCCGCCTTCCTCAGCCGCTTCTTCAAGTTCCTCACCACCGAAGCCGAGTTCTTCGCCCACGCCGCCGTCCAGAAGTTCATCGAACCTCGCGTACACGCTCCTCTCGAATATTCTCCCACCCCGTGTCCAATACTCACACATACACGCACCGCACACATGCACCGCACACATGCACCGCACACACCGCACACACCGCACACACCGCACACACCCCACACACCACACGCACACACGCACACACATAGACCAAGCTGCTGCATTTGGCGGTGACGGCTGGACGCAACATCATCGGCAAGACCAAGAAGGGTACCCTTGGCTCGATCACCGAGACATGTCTTCTTTGCACTCGTTCGCCTGACCATTGCGTTTTCTTAACCAAATGCACACCCCGCAGGGTCGAATGTGTTCTGTCGTGTGGCGATGTATGATTCGCAGAAGAAGGTGGGCAAGTCTGTCCGAACGGCCATCGTGAAGAAGACGCTCAACCCCGTCTGGAAGGAGCCCGAGCCCGTCGTCTAGTACGCTCTCTTTCTCTTTCCTCTTCCCCTCCCCCTGGCTTCGGAAGACTGTGATCGCAGTCCTAACGGCGCAGTCACTCTGTGTACTCTGTCGTCGTGCCTGTCTAGTGAGGTGAATGAAAAATCAGACGACCAAGGTGGCGTTACGATCTCGTGCTGGCACCGCACCTCGTTCGGCCGCAATCTGTTCCTCGTACGCGCTCTTGGACCGCTCCAGTTTCCTATATTTCGTTCAATAGTTTTGTGTTGCGCTTCTCTTAAGCGTTATATGTGGATTGCGGGGCCATTCACTACGCGCAGGGGCGGATCAACATTCCGTTCAATACCATACCCTACAACAAGAACATCTCGCGCTGGTTCCCGCTCCACCCCACCCACGGTCGCAAGTCGAACGTGCACGGCGAGATCAGTCTCAACCTCCACTTCAAGGTGCGCTCCCGTACCACACACACACACACACACACACACACACACACACACACACACACACACACAACACGCAAGGCTCGCCCGACTGATCGAGTTCGTTGTGTTGTGATTGCGAGCAGACCAACGCCGATGGTAAGCCGGAGGACCACCTGACGCCCGAGGAGCGGGAGATGAAACGCGAGCAGAAGGAGGAACGACAGCGCCGTCGTGCGCACCGTGAGTTGGAGCGCGGCGTGGGCGAGATTCACCTCCAGTACGAACCCGCCACCAGCATCACCGCCGCCATGCGTGTCTGTTGGGTGGTGTGTGTGTATCTTGGCTGATTGGTCGACCGGTGTGTGTGCATAGGTATTTGTACAACCCGCCGATGGGAGCGTGGGAGGGCTATCTCACGCTGAAGGTGGTCGAGGGCCGAAAGATCAAAATGCTGGGCGACAAAGTGGTCGATCCCTACGTCGTTCTTTCCGTTGGCGCCGTACCGCTTTCCCCTTCGCCCCCCCAAATCCCACTTCATTCATCCTCGCTGAGGGTTGCTGTGTGCGTGTGTGTGCGGTGTGTGCGTGTTTTCATGTTTTTTTTTTCCAATGGACAGAATCGCGAGAGAACGAAGACGAAGAAGAGCACGAGCGCGCCCGTGTGGAATGCGAACTATTTCTTCTACATCCCGCCCGAACAGGCGTCCGCCACGTTCGACGTCGACCTCTACGACTGGTCCCTCCTCGGTACGTACCACCAACCTTTGCCGCCCCTTCTTCCATACCATACCACACCACACCACATCATACCACCCCATACCACTCGCGCTCACCGGGCGCGCGTTACATAGGAACGAGCAACTTCGTGGGCGACGCTTCGGTCCTCCTCGAAGACCTCGAGACTGACTTCATTCAGGACACCTGGTGGGTGATGTGCGGCCCGCCGTTGACCCAGAAGGGCATCTCCAAGAAGCTGGGCAAGCAGATGGCCGAGCAGGGCTACACCCCGAACATGCCCATCGTGCTCGTTCCCGGTACGCTGCCCCCAACCCAGGCGGTCGCCCGTCGGTCGCACCAGTCCAGTCGTTGACAACGGACGCCGTTGTGTGTGTGTGTGTGTGTGTGTGTGTGTGTGTGTGTGTGTGTGTGTGTGTGTGTGTGTGTGTGTGTGTGTGTGTGGGGCATGAATTGGTGTGGGCAGGGTTCGCCTCGTCTGGATTGGAGGTGATCGAGGGCCACAAGCCCTGGGTCGGCGATCGCGTGTGGATCTCGCTCAACAAGATCGGTCTCCAGAACGTCAAGAGGTCTCCGCTCTTCTCTTTTCTTTTCCTTTTCTTCTTCGCCACCGCCGTTGTAGCCCAACCGACCGCTCACTCGCGCTCGCTCGTATTCACCCACACCCAAACACATCAGGAAGTTCGACATTGGGCGAAACAAAAATGCTTACGACACCCTCGATTTCGGTACCAAGGTGCGTTCTTCTTGTTTTCTTGTTTTCTTACTTTCACGCTCGCTCGCTCACCAGCCAAGTTGCATTGGCTGACGATTGCTTCTTTGTTGACAAAAACACCCCCCCCCCGCCCCACCAGAACATTTGGATCAAGCACCTGTGCCTCCACGGCGACGACTGCCGCAGCGACCCCGCCGGCATCAAAGTGCGGGCCATCCAGGGCAAGCAAGCCGTGACCTACCTCGACCCGGGCCTGCTCACGGGCTCCCTCTCCTACGTACGCCACCACCATCAACTGACCCAGCCCGAGAGTTGTGTGTGTCGTGTGTCGTGTGTCGTGTTGTGTTAATGCGTGTGGTGGTGCACTCGCAGGTGATGGGTCCCCTGGTGGAGAATCTGGAGTCGCTCGGCTACACGGACGGCGTCAACCTCCTCACGGCGCCGTACGATTGGCGCCTCCCCTATTTCTACCTGGAGGTACGTACCACGCCGCCACCGCACCTGTGCGCGCGCGACGCTGTCTCACGCCCGCTGGCCTTTGGCGTCTACGCACACAGGAACGCGACGGCTACTTCACCTGGCTCATGACCGCGATCGAGAAGATGGCCAAGCGCGAGAAGAAGCCCGTACGCCTCGCCCGCCACCGCTGCTTCGCTGATGGCGTCTGTCTGTCTGTCGACTGACCAAGACTTCTTCAATCGACGATGTGCCGCGCAGGTGGTGCTCCTGGGCCACTCCATGGGCAACCGAATCATCCAGTACTTCTGCCTGTGGGTGGTCAAGGTTCGATTTCCCCTCCCATCGAACCTTGTCGAGACTCGATGACACTCACTGTGTTGTTGTTGACGCTCGGCTGTTGTGCGGCGCTGTAGCGCACGGGGTCGCGCAGGTGGCTGGACGAGAACGTGCACACGTTCGTCGCGGTGGGTGCGCCGTTCCTGGGCTCGCCCAAGTGCGTGCGTGGCATGGTACGCCCGTGCCTTTGATCGACCCCCGCTCAATCACGCTCACTCACTCACGCTCGTGGTTGGGCGCACACCGAATGTGGTACGGGGGACGCAGATCTCCGGCGATCGGTTCGGCATGGACCTCCTGCTCTCGTCCCGCGAAGCCAAGGCCTTCGGGCGCACCCTCGGCAGCACCCCCGCGCTCATGCCCATCTCGAAGCTGTACAGCGACCCAGCACCGCTACGCAACGCCAACGCCAACGCCAACGCAGGTGTGCTGCGCAGTACAACCTAACCCGACCTCTCCCAACCCAAACCCACACAACGCCGCCCAATCCCAGGCAATACGACGACCTCGGCGTGGGCGTGATCTATGCCAAGCTCGACGAGGCCAAGCCGCATCAGTCCGTTCCCTATTGGAAGTTCTTCCCCATCGCCGGCGCCCAGGTACGCTGCTCTATCGGCGCAGATCGGCTCACGCAGCCTTGCGCTCGCTGACACCATGTGCCGTGTGTGTCGTGTCGTGTGTCTCGGGCACATGGTGTCGTGTTGTATCGTCGTGTGCGTGTTGCAGAAAACGGTGGAGATCTTCAGCAAGTACTACGTCAGCGACCCGGTGTATTCCGATGGAGGCGACGACGAGAGCGAGTGGCCCATCGTGGCCGCGCCCCCGCTCAACCGCCTCTACGCCATCTACGGCACCAACCTCGACACCGAGCGTATCTACTTCTACCGCCGCAAGGACAAGGAGAAGGAGGCCCAGTGGTGGGTCCTCGACGAGAACCCCCAGTACGACGCCAAGGACCCCAAGCTTGCCTGCCTCAAGATCGCCGGCGTACGAGACCCACCACGCAAGCTTGTGAACTGTGTGTGGTGTGTCGTGTGGCGTGTGTGTCGCGGCAAAGTTACGTTGGCTCACTCGGTGGCTCGCAGGGCGTCGGGTTTGAGACGGCGGAGACTCTGCAGCCGTGCATAGAGAAGCTCACCGGTCGCAAGGGCTACGCGTCTGGTGCGTCGACGCCTTTTGGCTGCTTGCAATTGACCTGCAATCGCTGACGGCGTTGTATGACCATCGCAGGCGACGGAACGGTGACCTACGCGTCCCTCAACCACTGCGCCAGCTGGCGCAAGGATATCCCCGAGCTCCGCATCGACGAGCTCGAAGGCGTACGCCTCCTTTCCTCTTCGCTCTTCTTCGCTCTTCGCTCTTCTTCGCTCTTCGTTCTTCGGGCTGAAGAAGGGAAGACGGTGATGATGCAGGTGGAGCACAGGGAGATCCTGAACAACCGGCTCTTCTTCAAGAAGCTCATCGAGTACATCTGCGACAAGCCCAAGAAGATCAAGTCGCCCGCGCAACTCACCGTCCGCGGAAAGAAATACCTAAGTACGTGTGTTCACGCGCGCGCGTGTGTGTCGTATGTGTCGTGTGTGCCGTGTGTGGTGTGCCGTGTGTGTCGTGTGTGGTGTTGTTGACATTGCCGTCTTCGCGCAGAGAAATATGGGCAGGACGACGAGGTAGACGACATCGCAGGCGACCACTCCGACGAGGACGAAGACGAGAGCGGGTCGAAGGATGACCTCACCCTAACCTCCTCATCTGAGACCTTCTCGCCCGCCTCCACGCCCACTTCCTCCCCCTACGTCGGCCGAAAAGGTGCGCCCGCCCGCCCGCAACCGAGTGTGTCGTGTCGTGTCGTGTCGTGTCGTGTCGTGTCGTTGGGCATGTCTTGTGTGCTGACATTCTCACCTGCGCCCTACATAGGTGACCAACCTCGGGACAATGAGCCGGACAATGCGCCGCCACTGCACGACGGATCCGTCATCATTCCGCCTCGCCTGCGCGCCAAGTGAACAAAACGAACTCTGTCCGTCAGTACGTTTTGAGACTATCAACTGCAGAACCTAAAAAGAAGTTGGCCACTACACTACACTACATTCCATGATATCGCCAAAGGAGGTCCCACCTCTGGGCCATGTGACCTTTCTTTTTCTCCAGTGCACAAGGGGATTTATCCACATAGGAGGGACCAATAGGGAATAACAAGGCATTTTCCTCCACATGTCTTCAAGAATGGAATTGGTGTTGTCTTTTCGCTCTCGTGCGCCATCAAACACACGCCGGCGCAAAGAGCGCACTAAAACCAAACAAACAAACAAACAATGAGCCGCTTGTCCATCGTCCTGCTAACAGTGCTGGCCATCGCCACTTTCCTGGCCACCGCCCACGCTCAGGTAGTTCCCTCTCGCCTTAGTTGGCCCAGCCTTGGCTGACCTCTTAGGACGCGCAGCCCAACCCTGATGCGGGGCTGGTCCGCCACTTCGTCAGCTTCAAGTTCCTCCCGTCCGTCTCTGCGCAGACCAGGAAGGTTCGAGCGCTCCGCCGCTCACTGTTCTCAGTTCTCTCTCTCGTGCCATCCTGAAGCCAATCCGCGACACCACAGGAGGTGATGACGGTGTACCGGTCGTTGCTGCACAAGTGTGTCAACACCACCACGGGACGGCCCTACATCGTCTCCTTCGACGCCGGCTTCCCCAACAGCCCCGAGGGCAAGGACCAGGGCATGGAGCAAGGTACCCCATATCCTGAAGAAAACTGTTTGGTTTAAAATACTCCGGTGCGGTGGATAAAGCCAGTATTGGATGAAAATTTTAGGGTATATCTCGACTTTCGCGTCGGTGGCGGAGAGGAACTACTTCGTGGGCCGTCCATTCCACTTCCCCTACGATCCCCACCACGACGCCTTCAAGCAGTTCGTGGGTCCGCTCCTCGACCCCAAGGACGGCGTCATCGTGTTCGACTTCACCGTCCTCCCCTGATCCCAACCCGCCCATCTACACCTATATGGTCATGTTCATGTTCAACTAAAAAATAATAATAATAATGAAATTGAATATTATGAATAATGCAGTACACAGGTTGATGATGCGAGACAGTCAAGCGATGATTCTCACTTGTTCTTGCGTCCGCCCTTGGCCGCTCTTTGGGCGCGACGCGCGAGCTTCCGCTGACGCTTCAGCTTGGCGGTGGTCTTGGGCGTGCGCCCGCCCTTTGCCTTGGCCGCCTTCTTCGCCGTGAGGTGGGCCGTCGACTGGTACGGTGGCGCCGGTGTGGGCATGGGCCGCTGCACGGCGCTGGCGATGGTAATCACGAAACACGGCAGCACCTGCTCGTTCCAGCCAACTTGTGTTAACATCGGCATGTGCCGTGTGTGTCGTGTCGCGTGCCGTGCGTGTCGTGTGTGGAGCGTGTGTGTAGTGTCGTGTCGTGAATGCGGCCACGAACCTGGGCGGCCTCAAACAAAATGAGCTCACCCTCGCAGGGCGACATGTGGCTATCAAAGCCTGCCGCGGCCGAGAAAGGCGTGACGTGGACCCACATCGATGGGTCAGCAGCCGGTGGTGTTGCCAAGTACGAGTGTGATTCAATGGAGGCATCGATCTGGGCGGACGTACCGGGCGTGCAAGGGGCGCCGTGCATGAGGTCCTCGCACTTGTAGATGCGACCCATGAGCACCGCACACACCAGCAGCTTGCCGCACCCGCCCGCATAGCCGAGCGAGGTCCTGGCGTCCGGCGACAGGTAGATACCCGCCCCGTAATAGCCTAGGCCCGAACCACGCGCGCACGCACACGCACGTCAATGGCGGGTAACAGAAAGGAATAGAAGGGCATGGGCTGGGTACCGTCGTCAGTGCGGTTAATGACGCCGTGGGTGCCGGGCACGAGCAGGCCCTGCTGGAGGATGTTGGGGATGTTCGCTTCGGGAGTCCCGTGGAACCCCAACCGCGGCCGCGCCTCCTCCGCGTAGGACCCTAACCCGCCCGTCAGCCACACGTGCGGGCGTGTGTGTGTGTGCGTGTGTGGGCAGGAGTACCGTAGGTGCGCTTGAGTTCGAGCCATTTGGCCATGAAGCGACGCACGAGCTCCACCTGCAGCACCCGCTTGATGTCGGTCACCTGTCGCGTGTCCTCCGTGAGGAACTCGTTAATGTTCCCGGCAAACAGCGCCTCGCACAATTGATCGTCTGTGTGCCGTGTGCCGTGTGCGTGCCGTGTGTGCGTGCGTGTTGTGTGTGGTGTGTGTGTCGTACGCGTCAGTTGCGCGTGCGTCGTGTACGTCGTGTCTTGGGGAGTGCAATAACAGATGAACGTACCCGAGTGCTTCATCAAGTCCTCAGCATGGTGGTGGCCCCGGAACTGCTTCTCATGGCCGAGCAGCTGGCGGATGAGCGACATCGAGGCCTCCTCCTCCTCCATCAGCTCCATCATGCGCTTCACCTCCGCGTCCCCCTTCTTCTCCGCGTCGAACTGCTCCTGGAGCGTACGCGCGTACTCGGCGTCGTCGGCCTCGCGCCGCCGTCTCGCCTCGTCGGCCGCGGCGATGGTCTGTTCCTGCCGCCGGCGCCGGCGGAGGGCCTCCTGGCGCCGCTCCTGGACGGCGATGAGGTGGGCCAGCTGCTCGTCCTTGCGCTCGATGTCGGCTGCGCGCTCGTCCTCCTCGCGCTGCAACGCACGCGCCACTTCCTCGTCGCGCCGCTCCATCTCCTCCCACTCCGCCATCCACCCGGCCTGCACCCACCGCCCACCAACATAGTGCTCTCTGCGCGTGAGTGCCGCGGCCCAACACAACCGTGAGCGCAGAGCGTAACGTACCGAGGCGGCCACACCCTCGCTGCTCAGTCTCAGATTGTCATTTCGCCCCGATGACGCCGACGACGACGACGAAGAAGAAGAAGACGACGATGAAGAAGAGTCGGAGGAGGTGGAGGTGAGGGCAAAGAGAAAGACGGAGTTGAGGTCCTCGCGTGCGCGCTCCTCCTCGGGCGAGAGGGCCACGGGCTCTATGACGGGCGCTCGGGCGTGCGCGCCCGGGAGGCCGTACGCGCGCACGTGGTCCTGAAGTTCGCGCCCCACCTCGGGCGTGAGCCGGTGCAGCTGGTCCGCGTACTGCCCCCACCGCTCCCTCAAGTACTCCATGCACCTAAACTTCAACCCCTCTTCCTCTTCCTCGTCGTCGTCATCATCGTCATCATCGTCATCTTCATCATTCTTCTTCATCGCTGCCTTTGTCGCCATCGACAGCCACATCGACAGCAGCGCCGCTGTTGTTATTGTTGTCGATGCTGTCGTCGGCCGCGGCGGTGAGGAGGTGGTCGACGGTGGGTTGGAGGTGCTGGCCGTGGGCGTCGTAGGCCGCCTCGAGGCGGTGGCGCGGCAGGGCCGGAAACAGGTCCAGCAGCTCCCCGATCTCGCGCTCCCGCTGCCGGGCCGTCTGGAGCTCGTGCACCCGCTCCTTGCCCTTGCCCTGATCTTCCGGTGGTCCGGCGGGACAGGGACCCTGGAAGGCCCGCTCGGCCGCTTCCTTGGGTACCAACGACTGCCCACTACATCGATCGAAAGCCAATGTTGCGTGAGCCTCCCCAGGCGCGTGTCATTCTGCGTGCCGCGTGTTTTGTCGGGGCGCGTGTTGTGTCGTGTTGTGTGTGTTGTGTGTTGTGTGTGTGTGTGTGGATGGCGCACCTGGCGGCCTTGTCGAGAACCCGTAGGATGCGGCTGGTCACCCTGCGTGGACGATGCGACACAGTTTTCACTTCACCGTCAGTGTTCTCAACTCTTTCTCTCCTTCTTCAAAGGCGAGCAAAGAAAGGGGTGGCTGAAGGGGGTAGCGGTGCCTGTCAACGTCGCCCTTCTCCTTGACCACGATGTCGTAGATGCCCCGACGTCGCAGCCCGGGAAACAGCCCATGCACTCCCGCAGTCTGGACAGACGTGTCTGTGTTTATAAAAAACAACAAAACAAAATCATAACAATGGCAAGGGTCGGGGCCACCGTACTATCTTGCGGTACTCGTCAGACATGTCTGCCCGAGGAGCTGCTGGTGCTGCCGGCTTGTTGGCTTCCATTTTCTGGGCCAGAAAAGGGGTGCATAATTTTTGTTATATTTTCCAAGGTTTTTTCCCTTTCTTTTCATTTGTTTTTTCGACCAGCGGGGACGACACTGCATGGGTGCGCTCGGCAGCCTTCAGCCCAACGTCGCGTGCGTACCTCCTTAGATGAGAACACTTTATTTTATATTTTATAACAATTTCTTATTTGTTTTCAATTTTGTTATTTTTTATCTGATTGTAAACTACCAGGCCGCGGGGCTTGAGCGGCAGCGTGCTGCGATTGTCCCGGGCGTGGTACACCGGCCTCTTCGTCATCTTCATCATCGTCGCCATCGCAGCGCTCGCCTCTGCCTCGGCCGAAGTTGATGCCAGCGAGCGCATCGCAAAGCTGCACGCTGCCGCCCAAAGGTGCGAAACGAGTGCCCGCACACGCCCCCTCCCCTCCCCACGTCCACCCCCGCATGGAGCTGACGTCAATGACGGCGCCGGCGGTGGTGGGTGGTGCGCAGGCGAGGCCTGGCGATGCTGCGATTCAACGACGCCCGGATCGACGAGCTCGTGAAGCAGCCCTACGAGCGGGACTACGCCCTCGTGCTGCTCTTCTCTACGAACGACCCCAAGTGCGAGCCATGCCGGTACGTGCGCGCGTGTCTGCATTGCCATGAAGACACAATAATGACAGACGCGTGTCGTGTCGTGCGTGTCGCGGCGTGTCGTGTGGCGTGGGGTGCGTGAAGGTATGCTGAGTATGTGCTGGGCTTGGTGAAGCAAGGTTACGATGCGGGAGCAGGCTCCCAGTCTCAGCAGCGGAGGCCGGTCTACTTTGCCGAGCTCTGGCCGCACACCTCGCCACAGGCCTATGAGATGGTAACCACACACGACACACACGACACACACGACACACACGACACATCACGGTGTCGCGCTCACCCGCGGGACGAACTGCCCCATAGTTTGGGGTGGACAGCGTTCCGGCGGTGGCGTTCGTGGCCAGCGGTGACGCGTGGAACTTGAATACGCACTTCGCACTCGCATCGAACGCCGAGGTCTCCCATCCCGATAAGCTCGCCTCCTGGCTGAGCCGCATGACCGGCGAGCGGGTATGCCCGCACACACACACATCATTCTCTTGTTTTCTTGGCTCTTGCTCTGGTTGGTTGGTTGTTGAATGTAATGAAATGGCAGATCAGCGCGCCAAAGACACACTGGATGGTGACCAACGCCGTCCCGCTGGTGATTATCGCCCTGTGCGCGCTCTTCTTCGCCTACCACTGGCGGGACCTGGTCGTGATCATGCAGATCCCCATGTTCTGGTTCATCGCCGCCATGGTACGACTTCCCTCTCCCTCTGTTCTCTGACAACCGTAACCTGTGTGCGTGTGCGTGTGCGTTGGTGCGTGTGCGGTGCGTGTTGCGTGTGCGTGCGCAGAGCGTGTACGCATTCACGATGTCGGGCATGCACTGGAACATGATTCGAGGCGCGCCGCTGGTGGCGCTCACGCGTTCCGGCGGCATCCAGCTGTTCCGGGGCGGCTACTCGCAGACCATCGTCGAAGGCCTCATCATGGCCGCCTTATGTACGCACCGTCACCCACCGCCCTCACACCCGTCCCTAACGCACTCACATGCACCCACACTCACACGCACTTACACGACACCGCACACGCACACGGCGACAGTTATTGGAGGCGGGATGACGTGGGTGGCGCTTACGGTGCAGGTGCCACGCGAACAGAACCCGGGCAAGCGGGTGCTGCGGTTCTCCTTCCTGGCCGTCACGTGGACCATGATCTGGTGCTGGACGACGGTCATCTACACCCTCACCAAGAACCAGGGCTACGCACCCGTGTCCTACGCCCTGTCTTGAATTCCTGCACGCCACACCCCAACAAGCCCCACCACCTCCCCGCGCTCTCGACTGACAAAAAGGAATTTAAAGAATGTACGAGTACAGCTGCCACAGCGCGCTTACTTCTTAGAGGTCGCGGAGGATGTAGTTGGCGAACACGCGCACGGCAGCAAAGGACTCCTCACCAGTGGGGACGATCTCGCTCGGCGGCAGCACAAAGCCATAACGGCCTGCACACCGCGCGCCATCAGTGCGTGCGCGTGCGCGTGTGCTGTGTGCGTGTGCGGTGTCGTGTTGTGCGGTGAGGACAATGTGGGGGGGGGGTGTCGTACCGGTGTCGCGAAGCTCGACGACGTACGAGTAGGTGACGTTCAGGGCGCCGTAGGTGTAGTCGTTGGAACCGCCCGACGAGACGTAGAGCGTGGGACCGCTCGGGCCGTACTGGTAGGCCTTGCCGTGCACGCTCTTGATCGCCTCCACCGCCACTGCCACACCCACACACCCCATCCACTCGATTTAGCTTCTAAAAGCCCCAGAAAAGCGAGTTCCTCGCGGCCGCTGACGCGGTGGTACAGAAATCAGGCGTACGCTTGGCCAGCTCGTTTTGCTTGGTGATGTCCTTCGGCAGCACCGTGGTGCTCCAGCCCCAGGGCTGCACACAACCACACAGCTTGTCAGCCCCGTGCCCATGGCGCATGCGTATGCGGTGGTGCTTGTGTGGCGTGTGTGGTGATATGAGGGGGATGAGGTACGCCGAGGATGAGCTGTGAGTAGGAGTGCCAGTCGATGTAGCCGCGGACGTTAGCCTGCGACTTGATGTACTCGGCCAGCGCGCTCTGTTCGGGCTCAGAGAAGGCGTTCGCTCCTGTCGCGCCGTGAGCCTGTCATTGGCCGACGGCGATGATGACCCATAATGGTGGGAACAAGGGCGTACCGCGGTAGGTCTCGGAGCAGGTGTCAGTGCTGGCGCCACCCTCGCCCCAGTGGAATCCCCAGTTCCTGTTGATGTCCACGCCGTAGCATCCGAACCAGCTGTTCTTGTTCTCACGACTGGGCATTTTGCGACAGCACAGAGCGCACACATGTCTCGTAAGCGTTCTGGTGCGTGTGTCTGTGTGCGGCGGTGCGTGTGCGTGTGCGGTGGTTGAGAGAGGGCAGCACCGGTTCTTTCTCCACAGGCGTTCGTTGGTCCAGCTGTAGACGTAGCCATCGGCGTTGATGATCGGGAAAATGCTCCACTCGATCTCGTCCAGGAACAAGGTGATGAGGGCGTCCTACACACACACACACACACACACACACACACACACACACACACACACACACACACACACACACACACACACACACACACACACACACACACACACACACACACGCACACACCACCCCATGGTCAGTGTGGGACACCACCTGGCTCGCGCAAGTGGTGGTGGGTGGGCTGACCTGGTCATAGAGGGACAGAAGCTGATTGGCGATGTAGGCGTTCGTCATCGGACCGATCCACTCGCGCGCGTGCTGCCCGCCGTTGAACACGATGCCCACCTTGTCGGCTGCATTTCCGTACATATATACATACAAACATGTTAGCACATATCTATAGACAGAGATAATATATAAAATTGCAACAGAATGTGAGAATTGTAGAGTGTCGCAGGCTCACGCACTCTTGTTGCTGGGGGCAGTGATGACGATGCCGTTGATGGCACGTCCTTCGATGGTCTTGCCGATCGTCTAGACACACCACAGCCACCAAACGTCATACGCAACGCACACGACACAGCGCACACACGAGAGTGTGTGGTGGTTCACAGGAGGGCGAGTGGAAAGGAAGGAGGAGTACCTTCTTGGTGACGAGGTGCGGGTAGGTGCTGGCCAGAGAGTCGAGGTAGGTGTTGAACTCGTCGTAGGTGCGGAACGTATCGAAGAACGCCGACGCCGAGCCCTGCTCGCGCGCAGCCTGCCAGTTGAAAATGGTTTATAAAAATCATAAAAATATCAAATAATAAATCCGAAGCGTGTAATTAGTAGTTCGGATATTATTATTTCCACGCAACGTGTGGAGAAGTAAATAAAATAAAACAATAAATAAAAATATCATTAACAAAATAAAATAAAAAGTTTAGGTCCGCGTACGGCGATGGAGGCGCGCTCGGCGAGGAGGTCGGCGTTGAGATCTTCGACCATGACGTGGAAGGGCAGATCCAGGGCGGAGACGCGAGCCTGGAAGGCCTTGTCGAGGCGCACGTCGACCCACTCGGGGTGGACGCCCCACATGTCGAGCCGCTCGGCTTCGATCCAGGCCATCAGCTTGGCCCGCTCGGCGCGGGCGGCCGACGGCACGGTGAAGCGCAGCACCTGGTGGCCCTCGTACGACACCACCGCGTCGTGGGCCGGAACGAAGCGGGCGCTGGCGCACAGGGCCAGCACCGCAAGGAGGAGGCCGAGCAGAGCAGCGCGGCGGAGGTGTTGCATTGTCGAGTGGCGGGCGCGGAGTGAGAATGCTCGTCGGCTCTCGGCGAAGAACTCGGCAGCCGAATATTAAAAAAGAAAAGGCATTTCCTTCGAGGAGAAAAGTCACGAGAAATGTGCCACATATTTATTCAGCTGACGCAAGCCTGGCCAATCAGCAGCTCCAGCCATTCAGCAAGCGAGTTATTTTTAGGTCCGACCAGCACAATACCACTCGCGTAAGCGGCCACTCTAACACATCCGACACCAACAAGCAGCATCGCACCCGTACATCCAAACGCAAGAATGATTGAGTACAAGCTGGTCGTAGTGGGCACTGGTGGCGTCGGCAAGTCGGCCCTCACCATCCAGCTCATCAACCACATGTTCATGGACGACTACGACCCCACCATCGAGGACTCCTATCGCAAGCAGGTCGAGATCGACGGCACCACCTGCCTGCTCGACATCCTCGACACCGCCGGCCAAGAAGAGTTCAGGTTCGCCCTTTATCATCTTTGTTATCACCATCACCTTTTCTTATGACTCGTCTTCACCCACCATATCTGGTATACACCTACAGTGCGATGAGGGACCAGTACATGAGGACCGGCCAAGGCTTCTTGTGCATCTACTCCATCACGTCGACGTCGTCGTTCGAGGAGCTCAGCGTGTTCCGCGAGCAGATCCTGAGGGTCAAGGAGGAGGACCGGGTGCCCATGGTGCTGGTGGGCAACAAGTGCGACCTCGAGGACTCGCGGGTGGTCGCCACCTCGCAGGGCGCCGACCTGGCCAAGTCGTTCGGCTGCCCCTTCATCGAGTCGTCGGCCAAGTCGCGCGTCAACGTCGAGCAGGCCTTCTTCGAGCTGGTGCGCGCCATCCGCCAGTCGATCGAGTGCGCCAGCGACTCAGGCGACAAGAAGAAGAGAAAGGAGAGCGGCGGCAAGTCGGGCCTGGGTTCGCTGCGACGAATGAAGAGCCTGGGCAAGCTGGGCGGCAAGGAGCAGTGCACCCTCTTCTAGAAGAAGAAGAAGAAGAAGATCAAGAACCTGCTTGCTCGAACACATAAATCACTTCTGTACAGTCACCACACAAACGCTCACTCGTTGTTACGCTCTGCTGTACATCAGAGGTACATCTCCACGTTGGAGTTCCACTGGAAGTTGTCAACGTTGCCCGTGTGCACTTCGTGCCTACACGCGACACACACGAGGCCAACGTCAGAAAAAGCAAGGTGTGTGAAGAAGAACAGAAAGAAGAGTGGCGGTGCGCACTCGCTGATGGGCCTACCGTGGGGCAGTTCCTCGAGCTGCTCCACACGCGCACCCCAACTGTTCAACTGGCGGCCCGACCGCAGAAAGTCCACCACCTCCTCGAGCGTGGCCGGGTCATCGCCAGCGGCACACTGCAGTGTCAGCTCGACCATGTGCCTGTCGTGCTTCGCGTTGGACGCTCCGGCCTCCAGCCCTCGCTTCTGTGCTCCTCGCATCAGCGTCTGCCTACATCACCCCCCCCCCCGAATAACCACCTTACTTTGCTCGGCAGGGTTGCGGAACGGTTGTGAGAAAAGAAGAAGCACCTGAACATGACGTTCTGCACAGCCCCCATAGCCTGAAAGTAGCGCACGCAGCTTACCCCACTCATCTTGTGTGCTTTTTGCTTTGTGTTTATTTTATGGGCCTCAAGTGAGAAATTATTTTACGGCCAGTGATGGTGACTGACAAGACCAGTTCAGGCCTTGGTGAGGTCGGGCAGGAGGTAGTGGCCGACGGTGGTGGAGGTGTTGGTCTTGATCTCGAAGCGGAAGGCGTAGACCCAGTTGTTCTCCAGGTCCACCAGCGCGGTGGCCTTCTGCGAGTATCCCCGGCCCTCATCCTGTGATGTCAATCACAATAAGTTGAGTGGACAGTCAACGAGAGAAGCAAAGACTCGAACAAAAGAAAGGTGGTGGTACCTGGGTGGTGAGCTCTTCGACCTCGATCTCGGTCTTGTTGTCCTTCTTGGCGAGGTAGAAGAGGTAGTCGAGGTCGTCCTTGTAGCAGTACTTGCTCTTGTCCGAGGGCTTGCTCGCGAACTGCACGCGGTGCTCCTCGGGCACGTGGTAGGCCTCGATCCAGACGCGAGCTTCGCCGTCGATGTCGTCGGCAGAGATCCAGAAGTCGCAGACGCGGTCCTCCGACTTGTCCCTCGACTCCTTGGTGGGGAGGACGAGCGGTTGGTTGGAGTGCTCGATCACCAGCTGCGAGCTCTTGCCCTCCTTGTCAACGATGGTGATACGGATGCGGAACGGAGAGGGAAGCGAGTGGTGTGCCCGCCTGCGAGTGAGAAAGCGAATACGTCAGTACACGAAAAGAAGAAGGTTGTGGAGCTGATGGCAGACTATGGTATACCTTTCGCGATCGTACTGGGCAGCCTTGACCTCGACGGCGCTCTCAATGGCAAGGTTGAGCCTCTGGTTGGGCTCGAGCACGAAGCCGTCATCGTGGTAGCCCATGGAGTAGCGGTAGTAACCGCTCTTCGAACCAAGCCTGTTGGTGCAGCCAGGTTTGTGAGGAAACAAGCAACCACGACAGCCCTAAGAGGAAGGTAAACGGGTGAAAGGCAAGATACCTGGTCTTCATCTCGATCCACTCTCCGTCCTTCTCGTACTCGGACTTGACCTTGACGATTGCGACGTCCTTCTCGAGCGGATTGAAAAGGGCAAGGTGGTTGTAGAAAGATTCGAGTACCTTCCACCCGAGGCCCAGCTCTGCGCGAGAACGAGCAGGAACCGTAAGCGAGTGGTGCACTACGTTGGTGCAGGTGCGTGCGTGAGTGCACCGTACCTGGTCGGGCTGGGTGGCGTCCTTCTGCTTGATTTCGATGCCCAGATCGCCCTTGGCAACATTCTCGGGCACAGGATTCTCAACGATGCCCGAAGGCGCGAGGTGGGCTGTGGGTGCAGAGCAAGACGATCACTCATGAGGTCATCACGATGCAGTGAAGCAATGCAGGAGGACTTGCACTCCTGTGCATGACGTGAACAGGCACATGAAAGGGGGTAGGGGTACCAGAAATGAAGTCCTTGGCGTCGTAGGCGGGTCCTTCGGTCTTGGTCTCGGGAAGCGTGTAGGCCTTCGCCGGCTTGGGGAAGGAGGCGGTCTGCTTCACCACGGCAGCGCCCAGGGTGAGGTCTCCGTTGATGGGCACCACCTCAATCTGAGGACGAGCATCACTGCAAAGCAGAACAGAAAAGAGAAATCGAACAATTAAAAAATCAAATCACGATGTCGATCTTTGTTGTGCAATGTGGGAGGAGGAACCTGGTGCTCCGAACGGAGAGCTCGGCAGCAACGACGACGCCCTTTTCGATGATGAAGTGGACCTGCACGGACCAATCCCAGGCGGTGCCGTCCGTGGTCTCCTTGACTTCCTTGTGGGCAATCAGGGCGCGGTCGTTCTCCTTGCCGAACGTGCGCAGGCTCTCGAGATCGAACAGCTCCAGCCGATCCACGACATCGGAAGCAGAGCCGATCTTGATGTAAATCTTGTTGTGCTTGTGCTTGCCGATCTCGGCGTAGCGGTAGGGCGGACGCCAGTTGCCGCCCGCGTAGTCGGGGCGCATGAGGTTGTGCCCGGCCTTTTCGAGCAGAGTAAGATTGACCTTGAGCCAGGTCGCGTAGTCGAGCGCATGCAGCACCACGCTGTCGTCGATTACGTGATCAATTACGTCGTGCGGATTAACGAGGAAGCCGTCGGACGTGGTGAGCTCCTTGGCCCGGGCGGTGGGGTCGCCGAGGTGGCTCTGGAAGCGCTTGTTGATGTCCTCCACGAGACGCTCCACCTTGTCCTTGCCATCGCCGCACGGAATGAGCAGACGCGACTCTCCGAATACCACCTTGACCTTCTTCATCTTCTCTCTTTGCTTGTGTTGTACAACGCACTGGCCTACCGGTAGCGGGTATAAGAAGAAGGTGCTCATTTGTGGATGAAGCAGGGTTTTCACTTCAGCGGTCGTGCGTGCCCATTGGTTGCTCACCTAAAGTTAAAGAGGCAAGTTAAGGGTACTCCAGCTTCATTGGCTGAATAGAGGCGTTCGCAAGTGAATGTGAGGCTTTTTGTACAGAAGGGCGTGGCCTGGCCCTCGCGGGATAGGACCCGATACATACTAATGACATCCGGCTTCGTTGATGACGACGTTGCGGCGCAGGCGAGCGAACAGGAAGTAGCCGGCGCCGGCTCCTGCAATCACGAGCGAGC